GTGTTTGAGAAAATATAACCATGTCCTAAGGTTTTACTTTAGAGTAGTTTAATGTTTTGTTTTGTTTTTTTTGGTGTTGAGGTACTGGGGATTGAATCTAGGGGCACTTAATCATTGAGCCACATCCCCAGCCCTTTTTTATATTTTATTTAGAGGCAGTTGCTCAGCATCTCAATTTTGCTGAGGCTGGCTCCAAACTCATGATGCTCCTGCCTCAGCCTTCCAGGATGTGGGGAGTACTGGGGATTGAACTCAGAGGCACTCGACCACTGAGCCACATCCCCAGCCCTATTTTGTATTTTATTTAGAGGCAGTTGCTTAGCATCTCAATTTTGCTGAGGCTGGCTCCAAACTCATGATGCTCCTGCCTCAGCCTTCCAGGACGCTGGGATTACAGGTGTGTGCCACTGCGCCCAGCTTGCCCTTTTTTTTGCGGGGGGGGGGGTACCGGGGAATGAACTCAGGGGCACTCAACCACTGAGCCACATCCCCAGCCCTGTTTCATATTTTATTTAGAGATGGGGTCTCACTAAGTTGCTTAGCACCTTGCCATTGCTGAGGCTGACTTTGAACTCGAGATCCTCCTGACTCAGCCTCCTAAGCCGCTGTGATTACAATCATGTGCCACACATTCTGCTGCCCTTTGCTTTTAATGGGATACTGAGAGCAGGGGCTGAAGAGCTGGAGATGGGGATGCAGCTGGGAGAGCACAGTGGAGCAGGATCGTGACTTGCCCTAAAGACCAAGGTGAGGTATAGGGACTCCCACTTAGTCCTCACTCCCCACATTGCTGGAGGAGGAAGAAGGAGCAAAGCTGTAGGGCTGTGAGCTTGGGGAACAAGCCAGTGACCAAAACCCAGGGCTGGGAAGGCCACCTGGCCAGCAGTCCAGGGGTGAATAGAGAACCCTGAGTTTTGTGGACCAGACCATAGAGAAGCTGGGAGGGAGGGAACGAGTCGTGTAGACGTGTATGTGCAGAAGAGCTGCCATCGGGCCAAAGCTTCCAGAGAACAGCCTCTTGAACTTGGAGGCTGTCTGTGAGGGTCTGAGTCATGGTCATGTGGCATGGGAAAGCCAGCCACAGGAGCAACTTTGCCGCTCCCAGGCCATGGTTTTGTGCCCCTGGGAGGTGAGTGACAGCCTGTTCTCCCTGTGCCCTTCACAGGTCCTGATGCTATCTGCTGGGTCAGCTTCTCAATAGCCTCCCTTGTCTCTCTGCCCGCCAGGCTGAGTGAGTCATCAGGACGTGCACAGGAGGCTCTGAGCTTGGCGGCTCGACCTCGGCCTCAACTTCTCCCCAGAGAGAGAGGGCCTGGCTTGCGCGTGGAGGGAGGATCAAGGCTCCTGGCCTGCTGCCCAGCCAGCCGTCAAGATTTATGTGTGGTTCCTGGGACTAAGGGAGTGCCCCATAGCCTCTCTGGAGGAGCTTCAGCTCAGGATGAACTTTCCAGAACACAGGCTATCTGAACCTGAACACAGCTAGGCCTCTGAACAGCTAGGCGCCCACTCAGCCTCATTTTCCTCTTTCATCAGCTTTGCTATCTTCATTCTTGGTGGTCAGGGTCATCCTGACTCTGAAGGTCAAGGAGAAGCACTCCTGGTCCTTTGATTCCTTTGTTCAGCCAACAGCAGTTGTCTCCTTAGTACTCCGCTGTGTTATATTCTGAGGATGCCACTGTGTTTAGGGGCCCTTCTCCCCTCTGCAATCCCCTGACTAAAGTGATTACATGAGTGCCCCCCTCCTTGTGTTTGCCCATAACCCAAGAGATGTGGGGAATAGGCACAAAATCTAAAGGGCCTAGGGTCTGGGATCTAGTTGGTGAGCTGGGTAACCTCAGGTTAAGTCTCTATGTAATGAAGACACAGATTCTGTAATTGAAAACGAGGAGATCAAGTAGCATTGACCTCCCTGTAACTGTAAGCACACCTCTACTACTGTTCGGTTTGGAGGTTTTTTAGTTTGTTCTTTTTTCCCCCTTTTAAACTTTTTTGTAGCTGTAGATGGACAGCATGTCTTTATTTTAATTTGTTTATTTTTATATGGTGCTAAGGATGAACCCAATGCCTCACACCTGCTGCAGCCCCACCCCTTTTAGTTTGTTCTTAGGATCACACTTTCCCTGGTAAAGAGGCTGAGAAAGATAAGATCTACTCCACACCTTAGATCAGTTCTTCTCTGGAGGAGGGGGCCTTGGGGCAGTGCATAGGGCGATGAAAGAAATTACAAAAATTAGCCTTCCCTGGAGGCCTTTGGCCAGTTTGAAAGCCAGAACAGGGCTGGGGATGTGGCTCAAGCGGTAGCGTGCTCGCCTGGCATGCGTGCGGCCCGCGTTTGATCTTCAGCACCACATACAAACAAAGATGTTGTGTCCGCCGAGAACTAAAAAATAAATATTAAAAAAAAAAAATTCTGAAAGCCAGAACACCCTTAGACCTTTTAAGATGGCCAATCATGGTGAGGTTGCCCATCTGGCCTGCTCAGCACCTGGCCTCAGGAAGCAGCCATGTCTGCTGGAAGCTGGAGCTGCTTTGAGTTGAGAGCCAGGCAGCCCTTGAAGGCTGAGATCCAAGGAACAAATTAACAGCTCAACCAACCCCTCCTACCTCCAAGTCCCACCTCCCAGTCCAGGGCTATCTTACATAGTAATCTGTGGGAAAAGATAAGTGAGGCAGATTAGAAGCCTGGCCTGGTGTTCTTCAGCTTCCGAAATCTTGTTACAACCTTTGGGCCTGACGGAGCAGAAGGCCAGAGGGTTAGTTTTGTCTACCTGTGGCCTGCCTTTCTTCCTCAAGAACAAACAAAGGCATTTACCTGATTTAATGGCATTATAGCAGAGAAGACTACACCTGTTAGTGACAGCTTTAAGACTGACCTGTGATCCGAAGGCAATTATTAAAAACCTGTCCGCGTTTGGTTCCGTCTTAGGCTTTGTCTAAAGCAAGACACACCCTAGCAGGCCCTGCCTTTAAAAAGTCCCTGTCTTTAAAAGAGGTTTCCAAATGCTAACAATCTCACACTGCCCCCCCGTCCCCCCCCCATCCCCTTTCAGGATAATTGTGGTCTCTGTGCTGTTTATATGGATGGTCAGCAGCATGGGGCTGCTCTCCCCTGCAGCTTCCTTGGGAAGGCTCAGGGCTGGTGAAGAGGATCCCAAGACAGATTCCCCATGCTTTGACCTCAGATTTCTAGAAGTATTGGTTGGTGTTGGGTTTCCAATATAAATGCCACTACTAACACTGCCTAAAAGAAAAATGATATCTAGAAATTTTCAACGAGTGAGTCTGAACAGTAGAGAAAAAAGCATGTCAATCCCTTTTGGAGAACACACTCATATGCATCTTGGGAAAGGAGCCACGTGCTGAGCACCATTGCAGGTTGAGTATTAGACTTTGTAAGATATACATACACATATATACTGTATATATGTATGTATTATATGAATATATTTTTATACATTTATGTGCTGTGTATCAACATTTTGATCAATATTGGATCAGATAATATAACAATGGCCCCATTAAATAATGTTGTCTAGTGACTCATAGCCATTATAGTGGTGTATGTACATTCTATGCCGTTCACACAATGGTTAAGCTACCTAAGAATGTGTTTCTCAGGACATATTCCCATCATTAAGCGATGCAAGGCTATGCATGTATCTACCTCTTGTGAGGGAATAACATAGTACCTTGATTTTGTCCACTTTTTTTTTTTCTGGAGAAAAGGCACTGTGGGCTGCATAGACATGTCCTCTGTGAAGGCAAGGCTTCTGTGGGGACGAAGAAGTGATGGTTTGGAGGTTGGGAATCACTGCCTGTCCTGGGGAAAGAGTTTGCCAAACAACAGACCATTCCGTTATTGTAAAGGGCAAGAAGCATCCAGGCCTGATGTTTATATTGTTGCTGTCCCAGGGGGAACAGGCTGGAATCCTCCCTGTTGGCCTGGCACAGGAGTAATTTATGTCGGGGTACCTGTGGGGGTCAGGATCACACACTTGGAACATGTGTAGATGAGAAGGTTGACTCCTTGGCCACTTGCGATGTTTGAAGGTTGTGTGCATGGCATGAAGAAGCAGAGACCATTTGTCCCCTGTGTCTTTCCTGACCCCTGAACCTGCCTTACACCCACCCCACTAGGGCCTGAGCTTAGGAGTGACCTGCTCTGTGTTGGTTCTCCTCAGGGTGAGAGTGAGCCTGGGAGATGGCAGTGATGGAAGTGGCCTGCCCAGGCGCCCCTGGCTCAGCCATCGGGCAGCAGAAGGAGCTGGCCAAGGCCAAAGAGAAGACGCAGTCACTGGGAAAGAAGCAGAGCTGTGTCTACAAGCTGGAGGCTGTGGAGAAGAGCCCCGTGTTCTGCGGGAAGTGGGACATCCTGAATGACGTGATTACCAAAGGCACAGCTAAGGAAGGCTCTGAGGGCGGCCCAGCCGCCATCTCCATCATCGCCCAGGCTGAATGTGAGGGCCTGGATTGCAGTGGGCATGGGGCACAGGGGCGGGCTTGCAGGTGGGTGGCTGACCACAAATAAAGGCCAACCTCAAGGCCCCCTTTGAGAGAGCAAGATCAGGGTGACCACTTCATAACGTTCTCAAAAGACACCTTGGGAGTCTAATCCCCAAATCAATATGAACTGGGAATGATAAAAGTGCCCGGATGGAACACTGAGCTGGGGCATAGGCTGTGTCCATCGTTGTAACCAGAGCAGAGGAAGAAAGCCAAGAGGAAAGAGCACTAGGAGGATCCTCAAGCAGGCCACTAACCTCTGCTGTGATCTTGAGCAGCCCAGGTGTCTGGAGAGGCCCAGACAGGAAAAGCCAGGTTTCCTGGAAAGCCCCACCGGGGCTTCAGGCCCTTCACCACTTTCCATCAGAGTGGCCCCACCCCAGAGAATGAGCACCCTCCTCTCGGGTCTGCTGGACCAGTCTAGGGGCAGTCAGGCACTGCAGGGTGAGGCCAGCATGGCCCTTTCTGTTTCTAGCCCAGATGCCTTGGGCTGACTAGTAATGGCAGCTACCACAGAGGCAGAAACTCCAGGAGGGCTGGGGAGGGCCAGGATCCCCCTCCTACTGTGTCACCTCACCTTCAACCCAGGAACGGGACAGCTGCTGGTGGCGTTTCCCCACATAGACACAGCCTTTGTCTCCCACTGCCTTCTGGTTGGTTTTTGAGGTGAAAGAATATAAATTAGTGAAGACACACATGTATACATAAACATGAATGTATAATAGCTTATATTTGTTGAGCCACCACCGGGTGCCAAGCACTGTTTGAGTATTCAGGTGGCCTGTCTCACTGAAGCTTCACAGTGTAGTGAGGTGGGCACCGTACAGCCCCCATCTTGTAGATGTCCCCTCTGTTCTTGACCAATAAACTGGAGGGAGGGTGACCACAAGGGAGAGAAGGAAGCTTGTCTGGGAGATGAGCCAGGTGAGCTGGGAGGGGAAGGAGGAGCCCCCAAGTGGGACTCTCTCTAAAATCTCTCTCCTAAGTGCTGAATTCCTGATCTTTCTCTTCTTTCTGCTAATCTAACCCTTTTTCCTTGACTTAAAAGGTGAAAATAGCCAAGAGTTCAGCCCCACCTTCTCAGAACGAATCTTCATCGCGGGGTCTAAGCAGTACAGGTAAGAAAGCATGCTGGCACAGAAAGGGGACACTGCCAGGTGTCCACCTCTCCAAACGCCTGCCCTGGCTGCTCCCCACCACCCCTGGCTCCCTGCTCAGCACCTGGGCTCAGCCCCTGGCAGCCGCCCAGCTTTCCCAGCCGAGCCACGCTGTCAGCCAAGCAAGCTTTGCAGAAGTTCCCCACAGCTCACAGAGGACTCCTGGCTCCCATCAGCTTGACATTTTATTTTTATTCTCTTCTGAGTCCTGAGGCACCCCTGGTTTCCCATCAATAGGAGGATGCTGGGAACAGCAGTTACTTCCAGCTGGTGTGCAGCCATGAGCACAGGCCCAGAGAGGCCACCCTTACTGTCCTCAGAGAAAACACCTGAGATGGCTTACTCCTGTGTGACACACCAAGTAGGCATAAAGCTTGTGAAAATAGTAAGGGACACAGATTTTTTTTTTTTTAAGTAATAATTTGAGCCTCTGAATTTTTTTTTTTTTGTTTGTTGTTGTTGTTGTTGTTTTAGTTGGCAGTAGACCTTTATTGTATTTATTTGTATGTGGTGCTGAGACCAAACCCAGTGCCTCACACATGCTATGCAAGCTCTACCACTGAGCCACAGCCCTGCCCAGGTCACAGATTTGAACCATTTGATGGCCCTGTGGAAGGAAGCCAGGGCCAGACTCTCTCTGTCCCCAGATTCCCCATTCCCTCAAAGGTGAATTGTGGCAACTGAGAGTTCAACCTAGAAACAGTTCCCTCCACCCCACCTGGCAGACATTTTATCATCTTAGTGGGAAACTGCTAGTGATGAAAAGGCCAAAGGGACTTGGTTGTTGCTCAGGAACCAAGAAATGCTTGGCTGGGTCAGGCTTGGTGGCGCATCTGTAGTCCCAGCACTCTGGTGGCTAAGATGGGAGGATCCCTTGAGCCCAGGTGTTTGAGACTAGCCTGGGCAACATAAAGAAGTCCCAACTCAAAAATTAAAGAAAAAAGAAATGGGGGCAGGGGTCGTGGCTCAGTGGTAGAGCACTCATCTAATATGTGTGAGGCACTGGTTCAATCCTCAGCACCACATAAAAATAAATAAATAAACGACCAACTACAACTAAAATATATATATATATTAAAAAAAAAAAAGAAAGAAATGTTCAATGCTTGGTCAATTTGCTTACATTGCCTCCGACTACATATGGCCCAGAGAAGGGGGATTCTAATGAACCCACTTCTGTCAGCTGCCTGAGAGAAGCCCACAGGCCTCCAGCCAACTTTGTGAGGACAGTAGACCACATACACAATAATGGTCCCATGAGATTACATCACCTAGTGACTTTATAGCTGTCTTAGTTCCTGTAAGTACAATCTGTTACATTTGCACGATGAAATCACAGAATACAACATTTCTTGGACTGTCCCCCTTTTGTTAAGTGATGCATGACTGTAATGAGAAAGCTGGGATTTGTGCTCAAGTCTGTCTCACCCTGTTATCTGAACCATTCCATCTTCCTGCTTTCTTGTACTCAAACTGTGGATCTGTCCCTTTTTTGACAGCCATCCTGAGAGTCTTGATCAAATCCCCAACAATGTGGCCCATGCAACCGAGGGCAAAATGGCCCGTGTGTGTAGGAAGGGAAAGCGTCACAGCAAAGCCCGGAAGAAACGGAAGAAGAAGAGCTCGAAGGCAGGAGTGTCCTTGGCCAAACCTTTGCCCAGAACCCCTGAGCAGGAGAGCTGCACAGTTCCAGTGCAGGTGAGGCCCACGGCCCCCGCCCAGGCCCCAGCTCACGAGGCCTTCGGAATGGAGCCTGTGCCCTGATCCTGGCACTATTTCCTAACTCCTATTTCCCCACAGGAGGACGAGTCTCCACTAGGTGCCCTGTATGTCAGAAATGCCCCCCAGTTCACAAAGCCTCTGAAGGAACCAGGCCTTGACCACCTCAGCTTTAAGAAACTCGGAGAGGATCTACGGCCAGTGCTGCCTCGACCGGAACTCCACAAACTCATCAGCCCCTTGCAATGTCTAAACCACGTGTGGAAACTCCACCACCCGCAGGACATGGGCCCCCTGCCCCATTCCGCTCACCCCTTTCCCTACAGCAGATTGCCCCATCCTTTCCCGTTCCACCCTCTCCAGCCCTGGAAACCTCACCCACTGGAATCCTTCTTCCTGGGCAAACTAGCCTGTGTAGATGACCAGAAGCCTCTTCCCGGCCCACACCTAAGCAAACTGACCTGCATAGACAGTCAGAAACCCCTGCCTGGCCCACACCTGGAGCCCAGCTTCCCGACTCAGAGTTCCCATGAGAAGTTCGTGGAAGAGTACCTGGTGCATGCTCTCCAAGGCAGTGTGAGCTCAGGCCAGGCCCACAGCTTGGCCAGCCTGGCCAAAACATGGTCAGCCGGGGGCTCCAGGGCCCAGAGGCCCAGCCCTGAAACCGAGGACAATGAAGGCGTACTGCTTACTGAGGTAACTACTCCCTGCGAGTCCTTTATGCATACCTTCACCCTAACTCCCAGGCCAAGAGCCACAGCTGGGGTCAGGTGGTGCCTGCTGTGGGATGGTTCTCTCCCTGTCAGGGTCACTCATGCCCATGGTAACAAAGCAATTAGTAGCAAAGTACTTGGGGATTATGTTAGCTCCCCATTACTGTGACAAAATACCTGAAATAATCGGTTTGAAAGGAAGAATGGTTTATTTTGCCTCATAGTCTCAGAGGCTTCAGTCCATGGTCACTTGATCCTGTTGCTTTGGTGGTTCAGCAGGAGTGCCTGGCGAGGAAGCCTGTTCACCTCCTGGTGGCCAGGAAGCAAAGAGAGAGACCGGAAGGAATCCCAGTATCCCCTTCAAGGACACTTTCCCCCAAATGACCTAACTTTCTCCCATTAGGTCCCACCTCTTGAAGGTTCCACAACCTCCCAATAGTTTGGCGATCAAGCCTCCAACACATGGGTTTTGAAGGGACATGTAAGATCCAAACCATAGCAGTCATATTTCTTTCAACCTGCAGCCTCACTTTCCACAGCCTTTCTAGCTGTTTCTATTTTTTGTTCTTATTATCCACCTCATTAATATTGAACTGTATGGATTGTATGAATGATACACATACTAGAAAATAGGAATAACCTGATAGGAAAGATGGGGACTTTGCCATCACCATTACCCTTTCCTTTCTTTTTCCTCTAGTTCTTTCCCCAAATACCTTCAGCCTGTAAATGATTGATCTTAACGTTACTTTGGGGGGTTTTATTCCATTTACTTCACATGATCCCTTTAGCCCTGCCCTTTTTCATTGTTCCTCTCTTTCTTCTTCCTTCTGGCTCCTGAGTTACATGGTCAAGGTTGTTGCAATTCTATGTCTGTCCCTCCATCACAAGCCCAAGAGGTCTTCCTCACAAGAACCTCCTGGCCCCAGGCAGCTGGTGCACTTACCTTTGCCTTCTCCTTGTTTCTTTAAGCCCCATTGCTTCCTGTTCTGTGGTCCCCCTCAGAGCCTGCCTTGACCCAGCCGTGTCTTTGGAGGCACCAGCAGCCCTGGCAATGGCCCACAGCTGGAGAGCCTTCCCCACTGCATCCCCTTGTCCCTCTGCTGTCCTGACCACTGAAACTGGCCTCTCTCTCCTGCCAACTCTAGAAGCTCAAGCCAGTGGATTATGAGTACCGAGAAGAAGCCCACTGGGCCACGCGCCAGCCCCGCCTAGGCAGAGGCTCCTTCGGAGAGGTCCACAGAATGAAGGACAAGCAGACAGGCTTCCAGTGTGCTGTCAAAAAGGTATGCCAAAAAGGTACATCAGGGTTCTGGGGGCTACAGGGGAGTCAGGCAAGGGCTGTTGCCATCCACATTCTGTCTTTCAAGGACAGCCACAGGGTTGCCGTGGCTCTCACTTGATGACAACCTGGCCATCGCTAGCTGCCCTCGGTCAGCTGGAACTGGAAGGGAGCAATGTGTCACATGGCCTGGGCTGGTCACTGCCCTCGGTATGCATGTCTGAGAGAAGCAATGTGAGAGCACATAGCTTTAAGGTCTGAGTACAGCCAGGGCCACTGCTGACACCAGGGCCTGTAGGGGCAAGTCCAAACCTGGAAGGTGGTCGGATCCTCATGAAATCCATGCTGAGCTAAAACCTGCAGGCCACCCAGTGGGGCTACTGTACACTTGGACCAGAAGGTAATTAGAACAGTAGCCTCCACTTGTCAGGTGCCCCCTGGAAGGTGGCAGACACAGGGAGTTTCACACGGGTCTGCTCCAGGTTCAAGCCATGCCACCTGCTGGCCAGGTGCAGCACAGATGGCCATCACAGGGGAACACGACTCAGCAAGAGATGGAGGAGCTGGTTTAGTGCAGCAGAATTGGGGTTCAGACCCAGGCTTGTCTGACCCCAGTGTGGCTCTGTGCCCCTGTTCAGGAAGAGAGGAAGGAGGGAAGACTTATGGTCCTAGGGTCTTGATTAGCAGCAGAAGGCGGAGTCGCCTCTCCTACCCCTCATCTCTCCAGTGACTTGCCCAGCTGGGCCTAAAGCCCAGGCCCAGGTGACAATCAGCAGCAGCTGCAGATCCACAGACATAGAGGGTGTTGGCCCTACTCCCCACAGCACTGTTCTCCCTCCCAACTTGGAGCTCCCCTCAATCGGAAACCACCTTGTTCGCAGCCCAAACTCCAAACCCCAGGGTGAACCATTTTCTTGGCCCCTGGGGCAAGGTGAAATAGGCTCAGAGATGGATTGGTTTCAAGTGGCTTATGTCAAAGACTCTGATCCCCAAAAGGAAAAGGATCAAGCTGCCAGACCCAACAGGCCCCACACACTCAGGTCCTGTGCAGAGTGAACCCTGCCACTCCTGTCCTGGCTGCCTGTGACTTCAAGGGCTGAGGCTCTAGCTGGACGGTGAATGACCCTGGGCCAGGCTGTTGGAGTTCTTGAGTGTGATCCTCAGGGTGGTGGGATGAGAGAGGGGTCAGTCTGTCCATTTTACCCCAGACTTCACATACACCGTGTCAGATAAGCAAGCACCTCCCTCCCCATCCACCACTGGCAGAAGCACATGCTGAGCTCTTGCCAGCACGGATCATCTTCCACTTGGATGCCAGGGCCACGTGCCTGACCTCCTCAGCTGCAGTTCCCTTCCCCAGGCCACCGGAGAAGGCTCAGCTGTCCCTCCTGAGAGGCCGTGGGAGGAGGGTGAGAGAGTGTGAAGTGTCCTAGAGACGAGCATCCAGTGCTGGGAGCTTAGTCACTGGGTTCTCAGCTGTTCCTCTGCTGAGGTCCTCAGAGTCCCAGGCAACAGGGTAAACAACCCTAATGAGGTGGAAGAGGACAGTACTCCATTTCTCATCCCCTGTGCCCAGGCAGTGGGGAATGATCCAAGCATAAGACCCGGCACCAGAGGTGGCCACGCTGAGGACTCCACCTCCCCGCACCCAGGAGCCCCAGCAGGGATGGTCGTTGTCCTTTACCCAGCCGCTGTTGCTTGGGCAGGCAGTGGTGTCCTTTCCGTGGGGTGTAGCTCAGTGGTAGAGCACTTGCCTAGCATGTATGAGGTTCTATCCCTAGTTCCACACACACACCACAAAAAAAGGTCCTTGATGATGGGGACGGGACAGGGGAAGTAGGGAAATGATCAGAAGTCGGGCTGTGCCTGGGGTAAGAGCAAGTCCGTGCTCCTTTGATGCTCCTAGGGAGGATTCAGGATGTGTGATATCACGTGGTAACACCAGCGTTCCCTTGGTCTTCCTTCTAGAATATCTTTGGCCTTAGGTCACATGATGATTGACCACAAGTCTAGGGTTTAATGCAGTTTTGGGGGTTTTGGGTTTTTTTTTTTTTTAATAAAGTTTTCTTTCTTCCATCTGACCCACTTTGGTCATGCTTAGAAAGGGCTTATCTATTTATTTATTTATTTATTTATTTATGTATGTATTTATTTTTGGTACCAGGGATTAAACCCAGCAGTGCTCAACCACTGAGCCACATCCCTAGCCTTTTTTTTTTTTTTTTTTTTAATTTTGAGACAGGGTCTTGCTAAGTTTCTGAGGGTCTCACTAAATTGCTAAGGCTGCCTTTGAACTTGCGATCCTCCTGCCTCAGCCTCCCATGTCACTGAGATTACAGGCATTCACCACCATGCCCAGCTGATCTTTATTTTAATTTCAAACAGATACAGGCTTATTATAAAATCATTAATGAATGCCAAAAAAAGAAAAGTCTTCTTGTTCCCCAGTCCTGTTCACCAAGATAAATGCCACTTGACATAAATTTTTTTAAACTTTTTATGCATATATAAGTATGAAGTTATTTCTTTTATAAAAATGATATCCTACTCTCTAAATCATTTTGTACCATGATTTTTTCATGTAATACATATATGGACAGAGTTCCTTGTTGGCTCCTGTACAGCTCTTGTGTTTTGTTATGTTGTTTTGTTTTCATTTTGTTGTTTTGGTTCCAGGGGTTGAACTCAGGAGTGCTTAACCACTAAACCACATCCCCATCCCTTTTCTTTTTTTTTTAACCTTCATTTTATTTGTTTTTATTTTTATGTGGTCCCGGAGAACAAACCCTCACACATGCTAGGTAAGCACTCTATCACCGAGCCACAACTCCGGGCCTCTCTTTTCATTTTTTGTTTTGAGACAAGGTCTCACTAAGTTGCTTAGAGCCTCTCTAAATTGCTGAGGCTGGTTTTGAATTTGCCATCCTCCTGCCTCATCCTCCTGAGCTGCTGGGATTGCATGCACCCACACTCTGTGTTTTTTAACGCCTACATATAAATTCTTATCACAGTTAGTGAGTGGATTCAGAGGATTCCTGAATTCCTGGAATATGATTCAAAAATGTGTGTGTTGATGTGTGGGCACACACACACTTTTAAATGTAGAAGGGTCCATATCTTTTATCAGATTCTCAAAACAGGTCTGTGGGCCAAATAGGGTTAAGAACCTTTTGTTTTAGGACATCTGGCTCAAGTATGGCATTCTGGGAGCCTCCCTTTGGCTCTGCCACTGATCTGAGATAGTGTGGCCTTGGCCAAGTCAAACCAGCTGTCACCAAGCACCTGCTTTGTGCCAGACACTGTACAGGGACTGTGGAATCCACAGGCCTGACCTGAAGGAACTTGAGTTATAACCTCGGATAGGCTTTTACATGGCATGGCAGTGATGTAGCCAGCCCTAGACACGTGTTTAGAATGAAAACAACAAAGATGAAGGGGAGACTGTTTTGATAGTGATGAGGAAATGGGGACCACCTAGTATTTCCTGGACATCTATGTTCCCAGTCCTATATTAGTCACTTTCCTATGTTTATATTGCTAGAATCTTCTAAAGAACTTGTAGAGTTGCTTATGCCTCTTTCTTTACTGATAGAATAAAACAGATAAGAATACAAAGAACACAAAAGGAGAGAGTTTCCAGGAGGAAAAGTGGTCTGTGACAGGCAGGATCTCTGAAGTGAGGGGAGTGGCTTCTGAATGTGACAGAAGGCTGATGGCAGTCCATGCTTCCCCCTGGGGGGAATGTAGAAACCTCCAGGATTAAAGTCTAAGCCCAGAAAGTTCTTCAAGAGGTAGAGCAGCTGGCACCTCTGGTGTCAGACTTCCCTGATCAAAGTTCTGGCTATGGTACTCTCTTCCCAGTGACCTTGGACAAGTCACTTGTCCAGGTTTCAGCTTCCTTGTCTGTGAAATGGCAGTGGTGACAGCAGCACCACACAGGCTTTTGTAAAGATACATAAATAAGCCATGCTTAGAAAGGGCTTAAACTGAGCCTGGCTTACGCCAGTAGGCATTAAACGCTAGTCCTCATGAACATCCTCCTCACCCCCAGCCCCCTTTATTTGGGCATGAGGACCCTGAAGTCCAGAGAAGAGAGGTGCGCCAGATGGACAGCTGGCCTGAGCCAGAGGCTGGGGTGCTTTCTCCACTGATCCCCTGAGGACAGCCCTTTCTCCTTGCTTCCTTGGGTTCACCCAGATTTGTGAAGCACCTTGTTTTTTGAGGCTTCCATCTGACCCACTTTGGTCTAGGTGATGGAAATGTCTAAATGTCTTGGTATTACTGGATACTTAGAGGACATAGGTATTTCTTAGAAGTGAAGCCAAAGTTTCCCACACTGTCTTGGTTCACAACCCTTAATATCTCAGACAATTTTTCATGGCACCCCAAGCCAAAACAAATACCTAACCATTCATTTATTGGATAGTTAGGTTAAATAATAAATCTATCATAAAACTTAGCAACCATTTGAAAAGCGAGACATATAAGTTGAAAGAAAAAAAAATTCTCCTTCTTAAAATTACTAATGGGACCTAGGCCTTGTTGGCCACTGCATGGCTTCTTGAACTTTGAAATCAGATTGGATAGCACCACCTTCATTTCCTGTTCCACATCCCACAAAGTATTTTTTATCACAGCAACCTCCAAAATCCTAGCTTCTTAAAGACATATCATCAAAAAGAATGCAGCCAGCTGGGGAGAGCTCCGTGGTAAAGCATTTGCCTGGCACACGTGAAGCCCTGGGTTTGATCTTCAGGACCATTTAAAAAAAAATGAGAGAGAATTCAGCATGATCTAATGTTGGAACTGACCCATCTCTAAAAGTAGTTCACACCATCTCCTAAAGATGTTGAGCATCCCCATTTACTTCAAATACAATATCCTATAGCACCTTTCTGAATTCCCAGTGGTGCCCTGGGGTGCTTCACTTCACAGTTGGGGGTGGTGGGGGCACAGTGATAAGGTTAAAGACATTTGCTGGTGCAAATCCTGCTGCTGAATTAGTTCTAGTCAGTTTCAGTGACCTTTTAGGGCTGGAAATACTGACAAAAGTCAAAGTTCATGTAAGTTGGTAACTGAACCAGATAGTTCTTTGACCAGGTGAGAAAGATTTCCCACGAATAGGCAAAAGTCCAACAGTCCCATGTCAACAGAGCTCCTGTTGGTGGAGTCAGCAAATCCCCAAACAAAACCATGGGATCCCTAACACATCTTTTCCAGCGGTTCTGTGACCACTGGCGCCCCCTGGTGATGCCACTCCAGGCTTACAGGAGAACCAGTGGCAGCAGCAAGGACTCTATGCAGAAATCTGAGTGTTTAACAAGCTGCTGTTTGAGTTGGTGGGAGGAAGTAAAGAGCTAGCCCTTCCAAATCCTCATTCTAACTGAAGTAGATAACACTGTTCCCACCATGGTAGCATGGTTGATGGGAAGTATGCAGCACTCTTAAATGGCTGAGCCAGGATCTGAGACCAAGATGTCTGTACACAAGGCCTATTTCCTCCTACCATTGCCAAGCTGCAGGTCCCTGCAAAAAGTAGTGGACATCCCCAGTCCTGTTAGTCACAGCAGGAGTGGCCCTGGCCAAAACCTTCCCCAGAAGCCTCATCAGTACCCAAAGCTAGGAAGAACTGAAAATAGAATAAATATAAACACAGGCCTGTCTATGTAGACATTTTAGTTCTCTGAGGAATAATTACAAGAAGAGTAAAGAAATGTGCTGGGAGGGGTGCTGAGGGCCAAGAGACAGGAGACAGAAAGGTGGGAAGATTTCTTCTAAAGGGGAGACTCGGATGTTGACCAACAGAAGGACCCATGTCCTAGAATATTGCCCAGACAGTTGGGTTGGGGGCAAAGAATGTTCTGGGTTTGGCACATTGAGGGTAGGCAGCCTGCCAGGAGCCTGGATAAGGACTGTGGTTTGTGTGACTGTTTTCTCACACCGCCAGCACTGCAGAACTTTAAGTATGAGCACTTGTCCCTGACGCCAAGAATACACAGTACAATTTAGTCCCTGAGGACCCAGCAGACCCATCCGGCCCGTCTGGCCTGGGCATCATCACTGGAAGTATCAGCAACATCTGCATGTGGAGGACCAAGGGTCCCCATGGGATGCCAGCATCCAGCTGGCCCCTCTCCCTTGACACAAGCTTCCACTGGGTCCTTTCAGGTGCGGGTCGAGGTATTTCGGGCAGAGGAACTGATGGCATGTGCAGGATTGACCTCACCCAGAATCGTCCCTTTGTATGGTGCTGTAAGGGAAGGTCCTTGGGTCAATATCTTCATGGAGCTGTTGGAAGGTAAGAAGCCAGGGCCCATTCCTTCTCCCTCACAAGTCAAGGGCAAGAATTTCCCCAAGTCAGCCAGGCACAGCGCGGCACATGCCTGTAATCCCAGCAGCATGGGAGACTGAGGAAGGAGGATCACAGGTTCAAAGCCAGCCTCAGCAACGGCGAGGCACTTAGCAACTCAGTGAACCCTGTCTCTAAATAAAATACAAAAAAGGGCTGGGATGTGGCTGAGTGGCCGAGTGCCCCTGGATTCAATCCCTGATACCCCCCAAAAAAATAAAGTTTCCCCAAGTGCTTCCCAGATTGACAGTGGTCTCTAGTCAGTCCACATATAACCTCTTGGCCCTATAGTATCTGCAGGAAAGGCCTGCTTTGCCACTACCTGCCCTTCAACCTTGTTCTTGGCTGTGTGGAGGCCTGGGAAAGCCCCAAGTAAAGACTGGCTGTTGGTCTCCTAGGTGGCTCACTGGGCCAGCTCATAAAGCAGAAGGGCTGTCTGCCAGAGGACCGGGCCCTTTACTACCTGGGCCAGGCCCTGGAGGGGCTGGAGTACCTCCATTCACGGCGGATTCTGCATGGAGATATCAAAGGTGAGGCTCCCGCCCCCACAGCCTGGTCCCACAGGCTCTTGCCCCGTGCCTGCCTGGCTTCCTCCCAGTTCTTCTGGGCCTGCCTGGTCACCTCCAGTGGCAGGGTCTGAGTCAGGCTGACAGGACTATGCCTTATGGGAAGAGAATGTTTTCCACGCCCTACACCTGGCACTCTGGTTACCAGTGGGTGGTACCTACCGAACTGAAAACCAAGCTTTGACCTACTGGTGACCCCTGGGAGAGGGTAGGGCAGCAGAGTGGAGTGGCAGGGTCCCCAAAAGTAGCCCCTGCTCCTGTCTCCTCGGGCTCAGATCCGGCCTGCTGCCTGCCTCTAGCCTGCACTTATACCCCCTCCCTTCCTCCATATCTAATGAAACAAATCTGAGGCAGCAGCTGCCATGTAGGGTAGGCCAGAAAATTACCTCACTGGAGACCAGGCCAGCTGAGCCCTGGTGGGCTGGGACCCGTCACGACTTAACTGTTCTCTTCCTCCCTGTGCTGGTGCTGGCCTTCAGCTGACAACGTGCTTCTGTCCACTGATGGGAGCCATGCGGCCCTCTGTGACTTTGGCCATGCCGTGTGCCTGCAACCTGATGGCCTGGGGAAGTCCTTGCTCACAGGTAAGTCCCCAGAGCGGCCCTCCCCATGATGACAATAGCCATTGCCCTCTACTAGGCATTAGCCATGTGCCTTGTTGCTTCCACAGTGGGAACGATTATGTGAGCAAAAGATGTTATGTTTATGTTCCCCAAAAGATTTGAGCCCCACAGCCACCCTGGGTTGTTACAAGGCTCTTGTTATGTGTAAATGAAGAATGGATGTCAAGCACTCAGTTCTGATGCTCCAGTGAAGAGAGCAGGAAGGTGGAGAACTCCGCCACAGGTCCCAGGCTTCACAGATGGTGATTTTTTTTTTTTTTTTTTTTTTTTTTGAGACAAGGTCTTGCTAAGTTGCTGAGGACCTCACTAAGTTGCTGAGGCTGGCTTTAAATGTGCGATCCTTCTGCCTCAGCCTCTTCCAGAGCCTCTGGGATTACAGATATGTGCCACCATGCTCAGCTAAAATGTCTATTTTTGACCTCCATTTCTCTGATTATTAAAATAACCCATGCCTATTGTAAAATACTTGGCAAGAATGGAGTTAAGTGGTATTAAAGAGGAAGGGAAAAGAATTCATGCTATTCTTGATCAGAGAAATAATTGTGAATTTTTTTTCTTTTTCATTTTACTAACATTTGAGGAGCATCATAGCAGCAATTAATCCTCTATTACTGAATTTTCAATGCCCAGCCCCCTCCCCATTTTAAGGGTTCAGTCTGGAGGGCAGAGCCGTGTTGTGGAGGACAGATTGCTCTGCACCCCAGCAGAGTCCCCAGCTGAGCAGGTTTGCCTTAGAGGCTTTATTTATTTAAAGTACTTCAACTGAGACGAATTCAAGGAACCCCTGGATTTAACTAGAATGGGCAATGCTGAAGTTCTTGCCCACCCAAGGTCACAGGTGATATTTCTGTCTTTCCCTGGCCTTCTCAGGGGACTACATCCCTGGCACAGAGACCCACATGGCCCCAGAGGTGGTGATGGGCAAGCCCTGTGATGCCAAGGTGGACATCTGGAGCAGCTGCTGCATGATGCTGCACATGCTCAACGGCTGCCACCCCTGGACTCAGTATTTCCGAGGGCCGCTCTGCCTCAAGGTCAGTGGTAGTGGTGACTCCAGGAAGCCAGCAGGGGAGGCAGCAGGGCCACAGGCCTGAGCTGAAGGCTTGAGGGGGCCTCCCATTTTGGCTGCTGTGTGACAGATGTGAGCAGGAGGAGGCTTTGCCATAAATGTGAGATTCTAATTAAAAGACCTGTCACCCAATTCTGGGGGTTCAAGAAGAAGTCCCAGCTGAGGGGTCTCATAGTTCACGGCAAGTCAGAGCTCTCTTCTGCCTGCACACTGGGCCACCTCTGCCTGCCTCCTAACAGGGCATCTTGCTGCCTGGCTCTGGCTCGTCCCACCCGGCTTCTTATTTCCCTTTTCTAGGAAGAGTCCAGCCTTGGCTCTGCCCCAGATCTCTCCATTCTTTGTGGCAGACCCCAGAGCAGCATGGGGGTGAGGGATATGGCAGAGAGCAAGCACAGAAGGCTGGATAGGGAACGAGGGGGAGGCAGGCCTCACATGTTGTCTTTTGGCCCCCAGATTGCCAACGAACCTCCGCCTGTGAGAGAGATCCCTCCCTCCTGCTCCCCTCTCACGGCCCAAGCCATCCAAGAAGGGCTGAGGAAGGAACCTGTCCACCGAGCATCAGCGACAGAGCTGCGGGGCAAGGTTGGCCGGGCACTGCAGCAAGGTAAGAGCTGGCAGGGCACAGAGCAGTGGGCCATGAGAGGGACGGGGCAGGGGTGGTCAGCACTGGGGTCCTCAGCCTCTGGGATCCTCAGTCTCACCGCCATCTGGAGCAGGGGGTGACAACAGCCTTGGGAGTGCTGGGAAGATTGCTCTGCAGTGAGCAATGAGGGCAGTGCTCAAGAAGTGGGAGAAAGGAGCTATCACGCAGAAAAGTGGGTCGAACTGGTTAGGGATCAGAGAGCGTGAGCTGAAGCCACGCACCATTTAACAGCCATCCTGAAAGTCTGGAGCATCAGGTACTCTGGGCCGGGGTGCAGCAGGAGCCCTGGGCACTGCTGGAGGCTGTGTTGGTGAGGCTGCAGGCTCAATGGAAGACACCTGGTAGCCGTCCAAAGTCAATGGATCTGGGAGCTGTCCCCTCCACTCCTGGGTGCACTGTCCACCCATTCTGCAGCCTCATTTTAGTAGGAGAGTTGGGTGGGTCTCTCACCTGGAGAGTGGAGTGGCAAAGGATAGGGGATGGGGCATCACTCAGTCCCAAAAGCCACTCCATGATCGCAGAGTGGGGACTGAGCTGAAGGCCAGAGTGCTGAGTGAAAAGAGGAACCAACAGGAGACCTGGGGCATACATCTTTATTGTATATTAAAAATCAATAAATGAGCTCGGGGCTCCCAAAATCCCAACTCCTGGGGAGACTTAGGTATGAAGGATCACAAGTTCAAGGCCAACCTGAACAATCAAGTCCTCGTCTCAAAATAAAATAAAAAGGGTTGGTAGAGCATTGCCCAGCATATGTGATAACCTGGGTTCAGTCCCCAGTACTACAAAAAAGGAAGAAAAAGAAAAAAGCAGCAAGTGAAAATGACATATTTTGCAAGAACACAACCAAATCAAAAGGAACACAACAATGTGGATAGAGGAAAGGCAGTGGCTATAGAAATGAAAGGGGAATAAACACAACAGAGACTTTTCACAGCCTGTCACCAAAATCAAGTGGTATTTACAATTATAAGGATGCCCCAGGGAACTGCCCCCACACCAGAGAAATGGCACCCTGGGGAAGCACCAGTCTAGGGCTGGGACGAGAGAGCCAGTGGGTGGCTCTTTACCTGGGAACTCTGGGTCGGTGTTGCTGCAGAGCTGTTTTTTGTGTTTGCAGTGGTGGAGATGGAACCCAGGGTTTCACTCCTGCTAGGCAAGTGCTTTACCTCTAAGCCACACTCCCAGCCCCCAGAGCCCTTTTTAATCTTTTCTTCACTCACCAAAATCCTCTGGAACTGATTTTGCTGGAGTTTTCAAATTTGCTGCTAACATCTAGAAGGAAAATAGATTAAAAACAGAGATGCAGTCCTATTCCTGTTTTATGGGCCATCAGAAGAGGCCTCCTCCAGGTCCCCCCATGCTGCCTCCACATCAGGGCCCCAGCAGCCCCACTCTGCTCCCCTCTAGCCCCTCTTCCACTCAGGAGAGGCCATTCCTGTGGGGTCAGCATCTATGCTGTGTGTTTTCACCTCCTCTCATGTGCTCTCTGTGTTATAGTGGGAGGTCTGAAGAGCCCTTGGAGGGGAGAATATAAAGAACCAAGACATCCACCGCCACACCAAGCCAATTGCCACCAGGCCCCACATGCCCAGCCAAGGGAGCGGTCACCAGCTGTGGACACCACTGGAGGGGCCCCTAAGCTTCAGCCTCCTCTACCACCAGAGCCCCCAGAGCGGAACAAGTCTCCAGCCCTGAGCAAGGAGGAATCTGGCATGTGGGAACCCTTGCCTTTGTCCTCCTTGGACCTGGCGCCTGCCAGAAGCCCCAGCTCACCAGAGCGGAGAGCAACCTTCCCCGAGCTGGAGCTGCAGCAGCTGGAAATAGGTATTGCAGCCAGGCTGGGGCCCTGGCCCAGGGCTTCTCTGTACATCAGCCTGACTTCTCCCAGCCCCTTCCTTGGGCCCTTCCAACATTTCACATTCACTTTCCGCTTTTCCCTACAGAATTATTTCTGAACAGCCTGTCCCAACCTTTTTCTCTGGAGGAGCAGGAACAAATTCTTTCATGCCTCAGCATCGACAGCCGCTCCCTGTCAGATGACAGTGAGAAGGTGAGTTGTCCATGGACGGGGAGTCACGCTTCTCCTGGCCCCGGGCACAGAGTAGTGGCTTTATGTCCAGCTGGGGAATGGGCTATGGTGCAAGTGGTGGTCAAGAGAGGATGACGGGAGAGCAGGGAAGTTGGCTTTGGTCCCTTGTAGACCTACACCTTACCCTCCTTCAGACTAGGACATGATAGCTCCTCATCTCCCCAGAGGGTCCAGGCCACTTTTGTCCCAAAAGAGACAAAGACAAAGATAGTTCCCTGAACCCAGGGCCCTGAATCTGTGCCCAATCCTGTGTTTCAGAACCCATCAAAGGCCTCTCAGAGCTCTCGGGACACCCTGAGTTCCGGTGTACACTCATGGGGCAGCCAGGTGGAGGCTGGAAGCTCCAGCTGCAACATGGTGCTGGCCCGAGGGCGGCCCACCGACACCCCGAGCTACTTCAATGGTAGGTCCCCTTTTCACCTGCTCAGCAGCCCCACAGCAGCTGAGCTACCTAGGGCTAGGGAGTCACATAGGGTTTCACGTCCCCTTCCCCGGGCACCCTGAACATGAGGTCCTTGGCAAGGACCCTAATCATCCACAAGCCTTTCCTGGTGGGACAATGAAATGTCATTGTCCTCTTATTGGCTGCTGATGGAGTCCCAGAAGGTCCCCTGGCTTGGGGAGGGGAGCAGACTCTCCTGGCTTGGAGTCCAGAAGCTGAGTAATTAATGTGTTCTGAGGGAAAAAGAAGGAAATAGGATCCATGAGCATTTTCACCAAGAAGTCAGCCATGAGTCCATTGGACTCTTCTCCAGGGATTTGAGGTCAGAGGATAAGAAAGACAATGTATAATTTTCAAGCTTGGTTGCATGGAGTGGTGGCTGGGCTTCATCAGCCTACAGCTGTGGCCGGTGTGATTCGTGGCAGCAGGTCCCCCCTGCCTGGGCCAAAGGCCATCTCAGCTCAGGAAGCAATCTGTGTTGCCCACAATCTAATTGAAGAGTCTTTGTGTTCAGTTCCTTTCTGTTTTGCATCCAAGTTGGAGTGCTGCTTCCCCCTGGGAGCCAACCTCAGCTCTTAGCAATGTGCAGGCTAAATTCCAGGTGTTGGTGGCCACTGAGAGTTATAGCAGTTGTGTACTAGGAGGGCCACTCCAACCTAAATTTCATCTCTGCCACTTGATCACAGCTGGACCTGCTCCCCTCTACAGAGAGCAGGGTGACTTCTAACAAAAGGTTCCCCTGTCCCCTGCCTGTCCCTGCTCCCTGGGAAGCCAACAGCTGCCCTCCTGACTGTCACCTTGCCTGCCATCTAGGTGTGAAAGTCCAAATACAGTCTCTTAATGGTGAACAGCTGCACATACGGGAGTTCCACCGGGTCAAGGTGGGAGACATCGCAACAGGCATCAGCAGCCAGGTAAGGGGGTTACACACCTAGAGCAGAGTCCCCACTCTCCAGGAAGAAGGCTTTCAAATAAATAGAAATGGCACTCTCAAGAAAAGTTGGACGTGGCTTCAGATGTCTCAGCGATTGAGGAGCCAGGTGGGATTCGCCTGGTTCTCCAGAATGAGAGGCTGCCTGTTCAGCTGGAGGAAGATGTCTCCCAGGGTGGTTGGGGACCCCATCAGTTTGACACTTCTAGGTGACTTCTGAGCCCTGTGCCACTGTCTCAATCCATTGGTTTGTTCCACCCCTAGATCCCAGCTGCAGCCTTCAGCTTGGTGACCAAAGATGGGCAGCCTGTTCGCTATGACATGGAGGTGCCCGACTCGGGCATTGATCTGCAGTGCACCCTGGCCCCTGATGGCAGCTTTGCCTGGAGCTGGAGAGTCAAGCATGGCCGGCTGGAGAATCGGCCCTAGCCCTGCCTTCCATAGCTAGCTCCAGTCCACCTGGAGCAACCTTTCTTCTGGGTGCTTGATGCCACCCTGAAACACAGATCCAACCTGTTCCTAGGGATCTGCTGTCCCCTGACTCAGTAGTGGGTCCAGGGGCTGGCAGCAGCAAAGTGGGGGCAAAAACACCAGCCCTCCTGGACTTCTCATCTGAGTCCTGCCACCTCTGCCAAGAAAATGCTCCAGTCATCTCAGGAGACAGAGGAAGGAAGGCAGGAGGACTCTTCCCATGGGAACCAAGAGGGTCTTCTCTGCATTGCTTCACACGAGTTGGCCTGACCCATTTGGATCAGTGATCACTTGCTGGCAATCGGAGGAAAGCAACTTCCGGCCAGGGGCAGGAGAAGCAAGAGAGCCCTGGGCCCCTCGGCCCCAGGCAAGTGTGAGAGTGTGAGGGCCCATGCCCAGGTCATCTAGGACCAGAGCAGCAGGTGTTCCTGCCCTTGCATTAGTGGGGGCTTCTGACCTCTTGCCTGGCCTTCCTGGCTGCAGACCCCCTTTGGGATAGAGGAGGAAGAAATGCCCAGCACTGGGAAGGAAGCCTCCTTGGTAGAACACACCACCTTTGTAGGTTGTCACAGCTCAGCTCCTAAGTCAAACTCTGGTTCAGCCAAGAACCAAAGAAGGTATTGCAGTGAAGTGGTTCTCAGCCCTTAGGCACAAGCACGTGTCCCTTTGCTGCTCCCCAGAAGAGCAGGCCCCGTGCCCTGCCACAGACTGGCTGACACTTAGTTCCCTTGTCTAGACAAGTGAAGATCGACATGAGACCCACCTGAAAGGAAAGGTCTGCAGATGGGGCACCGCATAGGGGCTGTTCCCCAGCCACACTGCCAACATCCAGTACACTTGCCCTGCCCAGCCCCTGGTCCCAGGGCACTGCCAGATACACTTTGCACTCCGTTGACCTCAAGCACTTTCCTGGCTGCCTTCCAGGAGGGCAGTGGCTCTATACGGACACAAGCAGACCAGGGTATGGGTGAAGGGACTCAGTCTTAACTGTCCATGTGCATTTGACCCCATGTGCATTTGTCCATGTGCATTTAAGGTGATCACTCCCTACCCATGGCCCCTTCTCAGCCTCTTATTTGCAGGGAGCTGCTTGAGACTCATGTAGCATTAAATCAACTGTGAATTGTTACAGGGAGGGGCACAAGATCCCTCCTCAGAAGCAGCTCATCCCCCACCCAGCCGATGTGGCCTTTGTCCAGCTGTTAGCATGGCACCAGACAGCTCCAAGGAGAGCTGGCCCCAGTACACGAAGAACCAAGCCCCTCCAAGCTGCAGTGTTGGCTTAGAGAGAACTCTGTGAATAATAAAGTTTGGGGTGATGACATCATTTAAGCCACGGGTGTCTCTTTTTTTCCTGCGTGATCTCTGGACTATCCATTCAGACTGGTTAGGCAAGATGCCCTGCCCATGGTAGAAAGGAAATCCCTGAGGAAATTGCAGGGCCAAGTGGGGGAGGGAGAAGACACCAGACCTGCACACTTTGCCAAGGCGGTCAGCCCAGTACCTCCCAAAGGCAACTAGAGGTGGGATGTTAGGCATTGACCAGGCACAGAGAAGTGGGTGCATGTCACATGCCTCAGCTCATCCCTCCTGTCCCTGAGGCCTGGCATCCACTGAACTGAACTGAGTGTGGGCCGGGGCTCTTCCCACTTCCAGCTGCTCATGAGCATCTGCATGAGGGTGGAGGGTGACTTTGCCTGAATGAGTTCCTTGGACACAGAACAGGGTCTGGCTGAGGACCAATGTGGCAGGGACAGAGGATACCTTGAATGATCTGGCTCCACACCCCCAATAGCTGTGCACAGTGAATGTGCATTGCACACCTATGCAGCTTGAGTTGATTCATCGGTTCTGGAGGGATCTAGACCCACGGAAGGGCAGCGCCTGGTGCCCAGAGCGGTGCTGAGTCCAGTCTAGCAGCCTCCCGCTTACCACACCCTCCCTCTGTGTGATCTGCCAGAGCGCAGTTCTGGAGCCTAAGGAGTCGCGGCGGGAACGTCACAGAAGCGGCGACATCACAGGCGCCAGCGCCCCCAGTATTTCCAGCGCCCCCACATCCCCCCCGCACCAAAGAGCGCACTGGAGGCGGAGGGGCAGCAGCCACCAGTCCGCTCCCCGCCTCCCAGACAGAGCCTCGGTCAGCATGGGGCTGACAGGTGGGAGCGCCGGCAGGGTGGGCGCCTAGGGCGGCGGGGCGAGCGCGGGCGGGGGAGGGAAGCGAGAGGGAGGGGGCTGCACAGAACGTGCCTGGGGCGCGCGAAAGGAAGGTGGACCCGCCAAAGCCTTATGACACCCCTTACTCCACCCGAGGCCTCAGCACCCCTAATGATTGTGCACGGCCGCGCACTTGCTCCTCTTGAGCTGAATTCAGGGTGTTCTTGGAAGGGAGCTGGACCCACGGAAAGGGTAGTCGCCGTGTGTCCAGGAAACGACTCACGAATTATTCCTAACTGCAGATACTCCCCCAAACTCACGTCCAACTCCTTGGTTGATGCTTGGAACTTTACAGGAAGGAGCAGTCGATTTTCAACCAGTATTTATTGGTCACCTTTTCCACTTGAGGACTCAGATAGCAACTGAAATTAGGACTTTCTTCTTGGAACCAGCTATCCCAGGACTTGAGCCAGTATTAAACATGTGCCAGAGAGCAGCTCTCTCCGTTCCCAAAATCCATGGTTAAGGAATTTTCACAGGCACCATAAATCACTCCTGTGACATTTATTGCACCCCTTCCAAGACTCTTATGCCAGGCCCTGAAAAGTGGATTGACTCAACAAAGTTGAGATGTAGGTGGGACAGCTTGGTTTGTCAGAGAAGATGACACTGCGTAGAGTTGGGCTTTCAGGCATGTTTAAGATTTTTCTGGGAGAGGGTTTTCCAAATATAATAGCATGTGCAAAAGCACTGGGGCACAAAAGAGCCTGCCATACCCTGGGTTAACTTGACCTTGAGGCAAGGGACAGGAAGCAGGATGCCAAAAAATTAAAAGAAGAAAAAAAAAAAAAAAAGAAGGCAGAGGTCAGACCACACAAGCTCTCTGAGGCCACAGTGGAGTCTGGTGTGACTGGAGGCAGGTGTTATGTAGCTGACTCTCAGGGATCAGTGAGAAGATCAGATTGAAGGAGAACATGGTTGCAGTGTTTCCACTAAAGGCTTGAAGAGATTTCAAATAGCACGATGAGAATCATCCCAGGGTTCGTAGCCAGCAAGGCTTGCTTTCAGGTTATGTGCTGTTCTTTATCGCTGTGCAACCTCATGGGAGCTTTCTCATCTCTGAGAGGACAGTCATAAGCACCGTGCATAAGGAAACTGTGAAGTCAACGTGTGCAAAGCACTCAGCTCAAGCACCAGCAGGAAGTCAGTGCTAGGCTTGTGTTGGCTGTGGCATTGGGAGGCAAGGAGAGAAACAGTGGAGATGGAAAAAGAAGGTCAGGAGCTACAGAAGTGTGGGGGAGTCACAGGTGACAGAGGTTTCTAAATTCGGGCAAAGGATGAATCAGGAGAGGAAAAGGGAGTTATCAAGAGAGGAAAGCCTGGAAAAGAAAGAGGGTGTGTCGGGCATGCAGAATAGCACTGGCCACACGAAGTCTGGCCTTGCAGCGTGTGAACTTGAGACAAGAAAAGCAGGATCAACTGCAGGTTTGGCAGAGGAAGAGGGATGAAGAATTTGGATTTTTTTTGCAAAGACGTTTGCTGAGCATCTACCTTGTGCCAGGCTCCATGCTGAGGGGAAGAGACTCCAAGTGAGCAACCTGCACATCCTGCCAAGGAGTGTGAGCAGGAGACCATGTGCTCAGATAGAGGTCTGTCTGCAGGGATGGACCTGGGGCGACTAGAGAAGCAGCCTCTAACCTGGCATGATGAAGAGCCCTCCAGTCATCACAATTAAGATATCAGGATGGCAGAGGGAGAAGACAGCACCCTCTCCTGTGGGCAATGTCTTGGATGCAGTGAATTTGAGGTCAGGAACAATGAATCTGAGGTCAGACACAAATGACTGGAGTTTGGGTGAAATGTAAATAAGAATCAGATGGGAGCGTCTACTGTGTTTCACAGGCTTGAAAGCAACCTGGGCACAAGGACTTGCTCATCAATGTATCCTCAGCCCCCAGTACATGCCTGGCCTAGAGCAGGCAACTCAACATATTCTTTCAACTTTATCAACTTTATCAGGGTACTGAAGAGCTTATTCAGTGACGAAAAACAAGGATCTCTACATCCTCAGGTCAACTCCTGGAAGCCACTGCAGTTGTTCCATTTGAACCATTTTTCTGCCTGATTACCTTTTTATCTCTGCAAGTTCACAAGCTCCTTCTTCACTTATCAGTTCTTTGCTGATGTAAAGGTACCAGGCAGCCTCCCAGTCTTCCCAACATCAATTGCTTTAGATCTGCTGATTCCTATAAACTGAATATACTCATATTATTATTTTTGTAAACTTTAGACAGTATTTTTCTTAGAGAGAAAGAGAAAGAGAGAGAGAGAGAGAATTTTTTTATTTTTTTATTTTTCGGTGGACACAACATCTTTATTTTATTTGTATGTGGTGCTGAGGATTGAACCCAGCACCCCACACATGCCAGATAAGCGCATTACGGCTTGAGCCACATCCCCAGCCCAAGACAGTATCTTTTGATATTCCACAAGGTAAGAAATTTTTAGAGCTCCTTCGTTCTCTTTAGCTTTTCTCTCTGCCTTCTATCTCCCCAAAACTCTAACCTGCACTTTTGGAGTCTGAATATTGAGACAATATCATTGTCCCATAACCACAGTCACGTTTGCCAAATATTTTCTAGATATTGAGTCTAAAAATTGAAAGTTAATGAACAAGATTGTTTTATTGTAACTAACTTCTTTTCATTGCAAAAACCAGGGGAAAAAGCTATCATGATTACCTTTTCTTTCTTTTTTTTTTTAATACCTTTATTCAATTTATTCATTTGTATGTGGTACTGAGGATTAAACCCACGGCCTCACATGTGCTAAACAAGCTATAGCCCAGCCCCTACCTTTTCTTTCTTACCCAGCTCTTTGTTTTTCCTGGAAGTTCGTATTGCCTTTTTCTTATACCCTTTGGTTTTATCATAGTGTTAGTTTCCCCTCAACTGCCATGTCTGGTCAACTATTCGGTCAGGTTTTCTTTTTCAGATCTACTATCTAGAACTCTCTGTTTGCTGCACCAATCTGAACTGATTGTTGGCCTCTATCCAGTAGATATCTGGGACTTGGCTACTTTGCTGGGATGGACATGTTATTTCCTTCTAGACTTTCTTGTTGTACATATTCATTTTGCTTTAATACATATTCAAATAATTTCCTAAAAAAGAGAAAGTAAATTTTCTGGGTTTTTTTTTTTTATCTGAAATGACAGTTTGGCTGGATATAAAATTCATTTTCCTCCGAATTTAAAGGCAAGTTAGTTACAATAAAACCACTGTTGATAAGTCTGCTATCAGTATGAGTTTCCTCTGTTTGTAGGTTACTGGGTTTTCCTCTTTAGAAGCACTTAGGAGTTGTTTGTTACTGATGTAATGTACTTTCACAGCAAGGATGTTTTGACATCTGTCAAGTTGGCATTCAGTGAACTCTTTTAAACTAGGGCTTCCTTCAATTTTATTCTTGGGCTTAGGGAGATTTTGATTTTTCTTCTCTTGTGTTTGCTATTGTTTGTTGTTGTGTTTTACTTTGGGGGCTATTGGGGAATGAACCCAGGGCCTCGAGCACACTAAGTAAGCCCTCTACCACTGAGCTACGTCCCCAGCCGTGTTCTCTATTCTTGATCTCCTTTCTAGAATTCAGAAATGGATCTCCTATGATCCTTTTCTTTCATGTTATCTTACATTTTGATTCCACCTCTGGGGATATTCTCTGTTTTAATTTTCTAAACCTATTTGCCAAAGCTATTTCCCTCTATAATTTTCGTAACATCTTGTTCTTATTTTTGATGTAAAATGTATTAAATAGAGTCACTCATTCTTGAATCTCTAAAAAATGTTTAGTTGCTCTTTGAGCTCTTTCTGTTTCTCAGATTACCTCTGGTACTCTAGGATCATCTTTTCTCTTGATCTGCTACTGACATGTGTTTGGTAATACTTGGTTGTCCATGTTCAAGAGTAGAATAATTAAAAAGCTGATGGAGACCCTTGTGACTCTAGGACCTACTTCCTGGCAGATAGCACTTTAAGATGACCAGGCAGGAACCAAACACATCAGTGGGGACCACTGCCTGCCAGAATGTGGAAGTCCTTCCTGGTGGTGGTCATGTGGCTGCCACGGGTACAGCACTTACAGTGGGGAAGGAGCACATTCAGCCCATGGCTCTGTCCTGTCTAGTTTCTCTGAGTTGGCCCCCCTGGGACTCACCTGGACAGGTGGGCTCATCCTCCTCCTACTTGCTCTTTCTCCTCAGCTGGAGTTACTTCTGACTCCACCTCTTCATCAGGTGCCAATCCTCCGCTATCCACATTCTAAAGACATAATGGACCCTCTGATGTGCTTGTGGGTCCCCCTCGTGTGCTTACTCATTGCAAACAAATTTATACTACTGTCATTTTTTTAATATTTAAAATATTAAATACCAGGCTAAGAGGAAATGAAGGTGTGTTGAAGATTTGTAGAGCAGCATACTACCCTTTGAACCTAGGATAAATTAAATATGTATATTATAAATCCTAAAGTAACACAGTTGTAGCTCATAAAAGTCTACAGAAAAAAAAAAGTCAACAGGAAAGATAAAATGGAATTGAAAATATATGCTACAAAAGAAAGCTCGGGAGACTGAGGCAGGAGGAATTCAAAGCCACCTCAGCAAAAGCAAGGCACCAAGCAATTTAGTGAGACCTTGTCTCTAAATAAAATAGAAAATAGGGCTGGGGATGTGGCCCAGAGGTTGAGTGCCCCTGAGTTCAATCCCCAGTTCCAAAAAAAAAAAATTAAAACAACAACAAGATACATGTAGACCTACACATTTTATATCAAAGATAGAAAATTATAAAATCTGGAACTGGAATTGTGACTTAGCAGTAGAGTGCACACCTAGTGCATGTAAGGTGCCGAGTTCGATCCTTAGCACCACATATGAATAAATAAAAAATAAAGGTATTGTGTCCACCTACAACTAAAAAAAAAATTTTAAGAAAATTATAAAATCTGTTCTGCATATAAAAAAAGAAGACATAAAAAAGGAAAAGAGAACAAAAGCAATAGATTTAATAATAGACAATAGATTTAAGCCCCAGAAGCAGACTGGGTGTCAGCATAGTGGTGAAGCATGTGCTTAGCACGTGCAATACCCTGAGGTCAATCCTCGGCATCACTGGGGGAAAAAAAAAAGTGGGGGAATAACTATACTAAATGTTTATGTACCTAATATTAGAGCTTCAAAATAAAGAGAGAAAAAAAAATACAACTGCCAAGAGAAAGAAACAAATCCACAATTATAGTTAAAAAATTTCAAAAATTGATAGAGGGCTGGGGTTATGGCTCAGTGGTAGAGCACTTGCCTAGCATGTGTGAGGCCCTGGGTTCAATCCTCAGCACCACATAAAAATAAATAAATAAAATAAAGTTTTAGATTCATCGACAAATAAATAAATATGTATATAAATATATATACATGTATGTGTACATGTGTATATATATTAAAAAATTAATAGAGAGAGTAGACACAAAGTCAACAAAGATATAGAAGACTTGAACAATACTACCTACAAACATGACCTAATTGACATTTATAGAATATTCCACCCAACAATAGCCAAATATACACTAAGTTTACAACAAAGATCATATTCTGGGCTATTAAAAAATTTAATAAATTTAAAAGGATTCAAGTCATATTTGTTATGTTCTCTGGCCACAATAAAATTAAAATAAAAACCAATAGCAAAAAGATAACTGGAAAACACTCAAATATTTGAAAAATAGTAAGTACACTTCTGAATAACTCATGTGTCAAGGAAAGAATCAAATTGGAAATTAGAAAGTATTATGAACTGAACAAAAATGAACATATAACACCAAGAATTGTGGCATGCAGCTAAAGTTACAGCAATAAACTCCAATGTTAGAAAAGAGGAAAGTCCTCAAATCTGTATGTCAGTTTTTGTCTCACAAAGGGGATTGGGGCAAATGAAGCCCAAAGTAAGCAAAAGAATAAAGAGCTAAGTGACAATCAATGAAAACAAAAAAAGCAGAAAACAGAAGAAACCAGTGAAACCAAAAGATGGTCCTTTGGGATCCACAAAATTAATAAATCCCCAGCCAAGAAGAAAGAGAACCAAAGTTATCTGAAATGAAAGGGATGATATCATTACAGATTCTACCTATGTGCAATGGATAACTCATGCAAATGAAATTGACAACTTAGATAAAATGGGCCAATTCCTTACAAGACAAAAATTTTGGAGGCTCACTCAAGAAGAAACAGTCATGCACAGTGGCACATGTCATAATCCCAGGGACTTGTGAGGCTGAGGCAAGAGGATAGAAAGTCTGAGGCCAGCCTCAGCAACCTAGCAGGACCCTGTCTCAAAATAAGAAAAGCTGGTGTTGTAGCTCAGTAGTAGAGCTCCCCTGGGTTAAATTCTCAGTATCATAAGAAAAAAAGAAACAGATATTCTGGAGATGGATGGTGCCAATGGTTGCACAATAGTATGTACGCACCTGATGGACCTTGACTATATAAATGGTTAAAATAAGGGGGTGTATAGGATGCACTTAGCATGCACTGGGGCTTTGTTCAGTCCCCAGCATACACCCATACACACACACTATTAGACATATTTTACCACAATGAAAAGAAAACATAGGCAAAACACACTGCATGTAGCTTTTAAAACATGTAATCACAATCATCCTGTAAGGAAGCTCCAGGCCCAAGTTCATAAGCTTTACTTGTGAATGCTACCAACATTAGGGAAGAAATAATACCAATTATTTGCACAAACTCTTCCAGAAGACCAAAGAGCAAATACTTCCAAGGCATTTTATGAGGCCAGAATCACTCTAATATCAAATATCATTCTAATATCTAATATAAGAAAGGAAAATTAGTCACCAATATACCTTGTGGAAAAAAAAAAAAACAACTTTTTTTTTTTTTTTTTTGTACTAGGGATTGAATCCAGAATCACTTCACCACTAAGCCACATTACCAGCCCTTTTTATTTTTTATTTTGAGACAGGGTCTTGTTAAGTTACTTAGGGCCTTGCTAAGTTGCTAAAGCTGTCCTCAAACTTGGGAGACTCCTGTCTGTACCCAGTTTTAATGTATTTCTGTACACTGGCAACAATTGGAAATTGGAATTATTTTATAGACCATAGGCTGATACTTGAATCCTCAATAGAACATCCCTAAGTCAGGCACAGAGGTCTCAAGTGGAGTCAACCTCAGACTTTTTTCCAGCCCCCACACTCCATAATCATTTCCCCCTTGTCCATACCTAGTTGCTACTTATGGAAGGGTTGAGGCTGTGGGTGTTGGTCAAATTGCCCAGGGAAACTGTAAAGCAAGTGAAGGAAGGCTGTCCACTCAGAGGCTGCAGAGGAGCCAGGCTTGGGCCAGGGGGAGCTGGAGATGGAGCAGCAGATTGTGGAGGAAGCCAGGGGAGCTGTGGTCAAGGAGGTAGAACTGGCCGTTGGGGTCCTGCCCATGGAGATACCCTCAAAGCCTTACCACTCAGTTACTACAAGATCTCCAGGCCCAGGCGGAAGCACAGAGATCCCAAACCAACCCCTGGATCAGACCTGCAAGGACCACTGCCCTCCAGTCTACATCTCCAAGAAGATTCTCATGTTCTTCTTAGCCAGAACCACGACTGTCACTTCCTGCCCCAGCCCAGGTTCATGGGGACCCGCTGTGCCTGATGCACGATTGCCCCCGTCACTCCCGAATCACTCTGCCATGAACTCTTATCCTCTACCCTGGGGAGCAGAGAATGGGACAACCGGGTGTCATCACCCCAGGGGAAGATAAAGAGCAGCCTCTGCACTAGAAGATACAGCCTCCAGGGAGGGGCCTGGTATGGGGACCAGTCCTGGGAGTCACTCAGCCTCCTCTGCAGAGGGTGATCCTAACTCACAAATCACCAGTGAGGGAGGTGCTGGCATTGCCTCAGATCAAGCCCCTGAAGTTAGGGTACTGGCCTGGGTGGGGATGGATGGGCTGGGGGAGGACAGCAAGCAGCAGAGGAGCAGAAATAGAGGGAGAAGAGGAAGGTCCAACTGGGGCGTGGTGGCCCCTACAGTTACAGGCTCCTGTAGAGGACAGCAATGTGGGCAGGGAGAGAGAGTTTCTTAAGACTTTGTTCAAGTCCAGCTGTGGAACCAGAGGCAAATGAGCCCCTCTAATATTTGGCACAGTGAGATGACCGCACTGGGGCAGAGGAAGCGCTACGTCAGCGGAAGGGAAGACTCTCGATCTTGTGGCTGGGGTGATGGAGGTGGGATAGGCGGGGCTAGGATGACGAGTGGAGGCAAGCTGATATGGAGGACAGGACTGGTGATGTGGCAAGGGGACAGAGAGGAGGGATGAGCTGGAAGAGGGGATGGCAGGCAGGCTGAGGTGAGGCAGTGGGGAGGGGGAGGCGGCTGGACAGCACCACTAGCCCTGACTCCAGGATCCCTCAAGGACTGTCCCTCACCCTGCAGCTCCCCACCCTGATCTCCTTCTCCCTGCCAGGTGCTAATGGATTTCCCTGCTGTGGCAAGGGGGCAGTGGACATCGTGGAGATACCGTGAGAACCAGTCTCCCCCCCCTCCTACCCTTGCCCCTGAATCCATGTGCCCCCCCACCACCACACCTAGAATTTCCCTCCGTTTTGCCCATTTCTAAAGTCTTCCCAAGATCAGTATCCAGGCCAAAAGTCTGGAGGTGGGGGTGTCTACCATTCCTCTTCTCTCTCTGCCTTCAGTCCCTGACACTGGAGGAAGGCTGAGGGTGATGGGGCACAGCGGGGATATGGATAGGGGCTGACTACCGAGAGAGGCCTTGCCTGTTCAGGACAGAGCTGTCAGGAGGGGGGTGGGCAGGTGCCTAAGGAAGAATCAGGGATAACAATAGCCAAGCACGGAGGGCAAGGGTCAAGAGCAACAGAGAGAAACTTCCCATCCACACACATCTCCGGTCTCCAGACCTGCAAAGCTGGGAATGGGCAGGTGGGTGGACATTGCTTTGGGCTTTCCGCTCGGTAGGAAGCCCTTTTTCTGAGCTTTGGTTCTCAAAGCAAGCTATGTGGGCTCACCTGTGATGCTCCATAAAAATGAAGATTCCCTGTGTCTCCTCCAACTCACCCAATCCCACTGTGGGGATGACAGATGAGTTGGCAAACCTCCTAGGAATTTTCTAAACTCACTGGAACTTAAGAATATCATGCTCTTTGTGGGAGCGGGGACACTGAGGAGTGGGTCAGTTAGTGAGGTCATCTTACCAGCCCCTGTATAAGACAAGAGGCCTTGAGAGTCTCAGAGATCCCTTTTCCCCTGAGCCAACCTCGAGGATCCCTATCACCCACTCTGACTTCTTTTGTCTTAGGGATGACTTCAACTCCCCACGGCCCCATCCCCGATTAGCAGAAGAGGAAGAAGACCTAGAGGTGAGAGTGACAAGGTCCCCCCATATGGGGAGTTGGTAGGCAAGGGGCAGAGTCTTTGAGGCCCACCTTTCCTAAATCCCCACCAACCCTTATCCTTGACAGTTCTGGGACCTTAGTACCAGACTGGTGTGGCAGCTCACACACCCCCCACCCCCATCACCCACCCACACTGTCTCCTGCCCCAGGCAGGTCTTTGGTGCCAGGAAGGACCTTGCAGGCAGGGACACCCAGCTTTGCCTCCTTAGCTTTTAGTTGAAATCTTTCAGGTGGAGGACGAATTGCTAGAGCAAGAGCCTCGGCCCAGAGCAAATGTGGATTCGCACCTGGACTCAGTCCCAGATCTGGAAGACAACTCAGATGTAGACATCCCAGAGAGGGGGCCTGAAGCTAAGTCACACAATGACCCCTATTGGGAGATGAGCTCTCTGGATTTTGGCTGCGAACACACTGAGCAGCAATATTACACAATAGAGACCCTCCATCCCTACACAGAGGAGATACCAAAGACCTTCTCGGGTTGGTCGATAGGCTCCAACTCCAGCCTCCAGAGTGTCCCAAGGAAAGAACTGACAGGCCCTGAGCAACGCTCCATCCGCGTACAGACTTCCAAGCACCTCTTCTGGGCAAATAAGCTCATCCAAGCATCAGAGCACAGCCTGCAACAGGCAATAAATAGGCAGTCCAAAGAAAGAGACACAGAGAAGACCCCCAGCCACCCAAAGCAGGAGTCCAACCCCAAAAACACACTGTGCCCTGAGAATATGCTCCAGATCTCCAGGGCCGTGACATTTCGCCAAGTCACAACCTCCCAGCCAATATCAAGCCCTTGTCTGTCAACCTCCAGCCTCCCGCCATCCATCGGCCTGGAAGAGCTGATCAATTTCGCATCTTCCTTGGCCGTAGCCTCCAACGACATGGAGTTGCCCAGTTTAGAACAAATGATCAAAGCTCCATCCCGGAAGTCTGCGGCACCTTCTAAAGAGCCTGTGAAACCTTATACAGAGCCTCTGCAGCCTCAGAATCCACCCAAAGCCAAGGAGCCAGAGAAAGTTCCAGAACAGGAAAAACAGAAATTCCCTTCTTACCTAGACTTCAAACCTGGGATCAAGAGAGCCACCATTGAGGGGGAAGTGAAGTTCCTTTCGACACAGGACATCCCCGCCACACTGCAGGAATGCAAGGAAGAGTGAGTAGACTGGGTACAACTCCCCTAAGGGCCACAACTGTGGGGCCTCATTGCTTGCCCAGCTGGGCAGGGGTAAAGAACAGCGGAATGGGGGGGCTGAGCAGGGCCACTTGCAGCTCAGTGAGGCCTCAACCTCAGTGACCTCATAAAGGCTACTGAAAACGAAGTTCCGGTGGACTGAGGTGAAGTGCCAAGGCCAGGGCCGAAGGAGGCTTGGGGACCATGGAGGGTGAGCTCTCCCAGTCTAGAGCGGGGATCTGGGTTCAAAGTGGGAAGGGTCAATGCGGTATTAGAAAGTGGAACTACTCTGCTGGTGTCTGCCCTGCAGAGAGTGCTGTCTGGAGCCCTGGGCAAGGACACTGTGTGGAGGGACAGTGAGGGGACAAGGCTGTGTAGTGGTCCTTGCCTCTGGTAATGGAGGGACACAGACCAGAACATCAGCTGCACAGCCACATGCAGCAGAAGGCCCCTGACCCCAGGACCTCCTCCCTTGGACAGGTCCTGGGCCTGCCCCTCCTTTGTCACCGTCTCTCTGGGACCCCAGTGACACTCTCTTTTTTGTGTTGCAGCTCGGTGCCGGGAACCAAGAAAGGGAATCCATTATTCCTGAAAATCCATTTTAAGCTGTCATCCCCTTCCACCCCAGAGAAATGACTAGACAAAACCAGTAAAGCCTCCAGTGCTGATCCCTCGCTCAGACTTTTTGTGCAAATGCTCCTGGACCAATGAGCTCACCTGGCTGCCATAGCCTAGTCTCAATTTTTTAGGGATGACACCCCCATATTTTTAGTTGTCCCCAGCCCCACCAACTCCCTGAGGGCTCCGTCATCCTGTTCCTGGCCATCCATCTCACCCTGGTCACTCCCCAGGGATAGTTCCACTTCACTCCCCTTAGCCAGACTTCAAGGCCACCTGGAAAGACTTATCTGACTTCAGGAGGCTTCAGAGTCCTCTCTGAGGATTCCGATTCTTAGGCCTGAAGCCAGGGGCACATTGGGATCATCTGAGGGGGGTTAACCCCTGGGGGGTGGGACTGGGCAGGGAGAAAGGGAGTGTGGAGGGAGTTCTTCCGGTCTTTCCTCGGGGAAGACCTGCATGGAAAAGGGATGGTGCCTGGGGGCTTGAAGGAAGCAAGAGACTGGTCCTCCAGGGGACCACAGCATTGAGCTGGAGGTCCCTCAAATGTAAGGAGAGCCCACGGTAACGATGCATACCCATATGCAACCCAGAAATGCACACACCATAGCCTAGCACTCACACTGCACATCCATGCACACACAGAATAAGCCACTCGGATGTCCATGCACACACATCCTGTGACTTTCACATGTACAAAACATGCACACAAATGCCCAAAGTTCCCCGTGTCTGGGGTCAGGCTTTGGAGGCCCAGGGGTGGGGGGGTGAGCAATGCATGGAAGCTTCTGGCAGAGGCAAGATGGATGCAAAGGAAGGAAGGGAATTGGAGTTAGGGGTGGACATGGGTGTGGAGAGGGAAGTCTTCGGGAGAGAGGAGGGGCACCCTGAGCCCTGATCAGCCTCTGACCCCCCCGCTCTGGATGTCAGGCCCTCTGCCAAGGGAAAGCCCAGCTTTGCACATCATCAAGAGCCTGGCAGGTGTTGAGGAGGGAGGAGGGAGGAGTCCAGGGAGACAGATTTAGAAGAAGGGAGTAGCTGAGAATGGGTGCAGCCAGAAGGAGAAGGGGGCCAGAGGCTGGAAGAAGGGACCAAGCAATGATGAAAAGGTAAAGTGTCCCAGGTGAAGCTAGACCCAAATTGTTATTAGGCTCTCAGGACTCATCTTTCTGGAGTATTTTGATTTTTGTTTTTTGAAAAACAAATTTTATTTTTACAGCAGTTTTTAGGGGTACTGCAAAATTGAGCCTGAAGTACAGGGATCCCATATATTATCCACTCACCCCACACAACCTCCCCCTCTATTGACATCCTGCACCAAGGGTACATTTGTCACAAAAATGAACCTACATCAACAAATCATCATCACCCAAAGTCCATAGTTTACTTGAAGGTTCACTCTTGGTGTTGTACCTTCTAAGGTCTTTGACCAATGTATATTGACAAGTATCTATCAAGGGAGAGTTCAGAACAGTTTCTAATGTACTCAGCCTATTCATCCCTCCCTTCTTCCATTCCCAGACAACCGCTGATCCTTTCACTGTCTAATTTTGCTTCTTCCAGAATGAGTTGGATAACATACATAGCCTTTCAAACTGCCTTCTTTCACTTAATAATATGCATTTGTTTCTTCCGTGTCTTTTCATGGTTTGATACTCCACTTCTTTTTTAGCACTGAACAATGTTCCACTGTCTGGATATATCAGTTTACTTATCCATTCACCTACATCCTGGTTGCTTCCAAAGCTTAGCAATTAGGAATAAAGCTGCTATAAACATCTGCATGCAGGTTTGTGTGTGGACTTAAGTTTTCAGATCATTTGGGTAAATACCAAAGAAGATGATTGCTTTACCGTATATGTGGTATGGATTTGTTCTTTTTTGTAAGAAACCACCAAACTGTCTTTCAAAGTGATTATTCCATTTTGCACTCCCACCAGCAACAAATGAGCATTCCTGATGCTCCACATCTTCACCAGTATTTGGTGGTGCCCGTATTTTGAATTTAGGCATTCTAATAGGTGTGACGTATGTGGTATCTCCCTAACAATATATGGTGTTGAACATGTCCTACACTCATTTGTGTATCTTCTTTGGGAGGTGTCTGCTCAAATCTTTTGCCGGTTTTTTAACTGGGTAGTTGATTATTATTGAGTTTTGAGAGTTACAGTGTTTGCAAATAATTTCTCCCATTCCCGTTTGTCTTCTCATTCTCTTGATGTTGTCTTTTGTAGAGCAGAAATTTTTAATTTTTAATGAAGTCCAGCTTATCAATTATTTCTTTTACAGGTCACATTTTTGTTATTGCATCAAAAAAGAGTCATTGCCATACCCACACTCAGATAGGTGTTCTCCTGGGTTGCCTTCTAGGAGTTTTAGAGTTCTGTGTTTTACACTTAGTTCTATGATCTATTTTGAGTTGCTTTTCGAGAAGGATGTAAATTTTGTGTCTAGATTCATTTTATTGTAGGTGGATGACAGTCATGTCATTAGCAAACAAAGATAGCTTTATTTCTTCCCAATCTGTATACCTTTTATTTCCTTTTCTTGTCATACTGCATTATCTAGGACTTCCAGTACAATATTAAAAACAGCAATTAGAAGGCCGGGATTGTGACTCAGTGGTAAAGCAATTACCTAACGTGTGAAGCACTGATCAAAATCAAAATCTCAGCACCGCATACAAATAAATAAATAAAGGTCCATCAATAATTAAAAATAAAATAAAAAAAAACAGCAATTAGAGGGATTAAAGGGGACATCTTCTGGATCTTCGCAGGAAAGCTTTGTGATTCTCCCTGCTAGGTATAATGTTAGCTGTGGATTTTTTTTTTTAATTTATTTTTTCAGTACTAGGTATTGCACATTCCAGGCAAGTGCTCCTACTACTGAGCTATGTCCCCAGCCTCCTAGCTATAGACTTTTTTTTTTTTTTTTTTTTGGTGTGGGAGATTGAACCCAGGGGTGCTTAACCACTGAGTCACATCTCCAGCCCTTTTTATTTATATTTTTTATCTTGAGATGGGGTCTCACTAAATTGCTTAAGGCCTCACTAAATTGCTGAGGCTGGCTTTGAACTTGAGATCTTCCTGCTTCAGTCTCTGGAGGCACTGAGATTACAGGCATGCGCCATTAAACCTGACTTAACCTGGACTCTTTATTATTAATTAATTTATTTATTCTTTTTTTTTTTTTTTTTTTTGGTACCAGGCATTGAACTCAGGGATGCTTAACCACTGAGTCACATACCCAGCCCTTTTTATTTTTTATTTTGAGATAAGGTCTTGCTAAATGTCTGAGGCTGACTTTTAATTCATGATCCTCCTACCTCAACCTCCAGAGTTGTTGTTTTTTTATATTTATTTTTTAGTTTTAGGTGGACACAATATCTTTATTTTTATATGGTGCTGAGAATTGAACCCAGTGCCTCATGTATGCTAGGGGAGCACGCTACCACATCCCCAGCCCAGCCTCCCGAGTTTCTGGGACTACAGGCAAACACCACCACACTCGCTATAGATTTTTTTGTAAATGTTCTTTATCAAGTTGAAAATTCGCTATTTCTCGAGTTTTTGTTATGAATGGGTAGGAATTTTGTCACTTTTCTGCAGGTATTTATATGATCATGTGATTTTTCTTCTTTAACCTATTGATGTGATGGATTACAATAACTAAGTCTCAAATGTTGCATTCCTGTAATAGATCCCATTTGGTTGTGATGTATATTTTTTATTCAAGTAGAATAAACATAAAAATAAAAGCAAAAATCAACAAAATCAAAAACAGGAAATCAATAGAGAAAATCATCAAAATAAAAATCTAGTTCTTTGAAAAAGATCAATAAAATCAATTAGCTCTAGCCATACTAACAGAAAAAGAGAGAAAGGATTGATATAATTTCTTCCTTAAATATTTGATAGAATTCACAGTAAACCTATCAGGCATGGTGCTCTTTGTTTTGGAAGGTTGTTAACCTTTTTTTTTTTTTTTTTTTTTGGTAGTTGTAGGTGGAAAGAATGCCTTTGTTTATTTTTATGTGGTGCTAAAGATCAAACCTAGTGACTCATGCATGCCAGGCAAGCACTCTACCACTGAGGTACATCCTCAGACCAGAAGGTTGTTAATTATTGATTCATCTTCTTTAATAGATATATTCTATTTCTCCATGTGTTATTTTTGGCAGATTGCGTTTTTCAATGAATTGTCCATTTCATCTAGATTATCAAATGTAGAGGCATAGAGTCATCCATAATATTCCTTTTTTTAATCCTTTGAATGTCCATTATATCTAGAATGATGTTCTCTCTTTCATTCTACTATTAATAATTTGCATCATTTCTCTCTCCCTCCCTCCCTCTTCTTTCTGTTACCCTGGCTGGAGCCTAATTGATCTTACTGATCTTTTCAAAGAACCAGCTTTTGATTTAGGTGATCTTCTGTAATGATTTCCAGTTTTCAATTTGTATTATCTTTACTTACCTTGGATTTAATTTGCTCTTCTTTTTCTAGTTTCTTAAGATAGATGCTTATTGATTTTAGATATTCCTCCTTTTCTAAAATAATCATTTTAATTCTATAAACTTCCCTCTTAGCATTGCTTTTGCTATAGCCCACAAATTTTGAATGAACTGTATTTTTATTTTCATTTAGTTTCAAATATGTTTAACCTCTCTTGAGATTTTTGTTTGACCCGTGTATTAATTAGAAGTGTGTTATTTAATCACTAAGTTGGGGATCTCCCAGCTATCTTTCCCTCACTTCCCAGTACTAGAGGATGAACCCAGGACCCCTGCAGGGTAGCCAAGTTTTCAACCAGCTGCATCTCCAGCCTTTTTTTTTTTTTTTTTTTTTAAGATGTCCATGGGTTTGGGGGTGTGGCTCAGTGGTAGAGTGCTCGCCTAGCATGCATGAGGCACTGGGTTTGATCCTCAGCACCACATAAATGAAAAATAAAGATATTGTGTCCACTCACTGCTTGCCCATCTTGCCTCCATTTACACCTGTGGAGGATGATGCGGAACCCCTTCTCATAGGTAGCACCCTGGATCCCAAGAGGCTGCTGTGTCACGTCTGTGTGCGCTTACCCTGTTACAGATGGTTTCCACCCAACTCGTCTATTTATACATGAACTCTGTCATTAAAGATTTTTGAGAACATGAAAAAAAAAGAGATTGTGTCCACTAAAAAATAAATATTAAAAAAAAAAAAAGATGCCCAGGCTGTCCTCAAATTTGTAGTCCTGCCCCAGCCTCCTGAATAGCTGGATCTGGGATCACCAGCATGTACCACCAAGCCTGGCATCCCAGCTATCTTTCTATTATTGATTTCTATTTTAATTCCATTATGACCCAAAAGCAGACATTATATAATTCTTATTCTTTTAAATTTATTAAGGTTTCATGGAATTTTTTTTAATATGGCAAACAGGTCTATATTGGGCTGGACCCTCACCCTCTCAGTTCTTGGCTTTGGGCCCCTGGGACCTACTTCTCTGGGCCTCTGTCATTCTGACTTAATATCCAGAGTGGAGTCACAAGTTCGGGTGTCTTAAGGGAGGCAAAAACTCAGAAGAATAAAGCAGCAGGTGATCAACAGGGAGAAGCAGATCTCTGGTGAGAGAGAGAGTGTATCTCCCGCCAAAGACAAAATCCACCACAAAGGCAGCCTGGGGGCTATAGGTTTGGGGCACTGGAGCAGCCTCAGAGCCTGTGACTCTGCCTTTCAGGCAGAAGAAGGCAGAAGACCAAGAGATCCCCACCCACACAGAAAAGGTACAGGTGATCAGGGTTGGAGGAGGGTCCTCCTCCCTCACCAGAGGTGGTGGGGGGAGTATCACTGCCATAGCCCTGCCCTCAGAACCTCTTGGAGGGAGGGTTATGGGTACCTCATGGGAGGAGGTAGACCTGCACACACCCACAGGCCTGGTCCCAGATCCCCTGGAGTCAACATATTCCAGTGGCCTGAGCCCCTCTGCTTTGTCTTCTCCATGCCTCTAAGGCCTCCACAGAAGCCTCGAAGGCTGCTCACACAAGATCGAGGTGAGGAGCAGTCCAGCAGGGTGCAGAAAGGGAGGTGTCAGCTGCACACTGCCCAAATGACCCAGACAGAGCCACCAGAAGCCATAGTCACAAAGACTGAGCAGACTACACAGAGGGCAAAAGAATTCAAGAGCCCTGTGGCTGCCCACCCAGCTTGGTCAGGAGCAGATGCCAGATCTCAGAGGTGAGGGTGGGGAAGCCAGACCGGGGGCACTGGGTTTGGGTAAGGCCTGCCTGGCCCTGGCATCTCTCTGCAGCAGGTGCCAAGACCTGACCAACCTCTTCCCCCTGGGGCAGCATGACAGATGAGAATCTCCTGCCCCTGACACCCCGGCAGCTGACAGGTGAGAGTCCTAGGCTGGGAGTAGGGAGGGAAATTAGGGGTGCTTAGGGCAGAACTATGAGAGGTTTTCTGCCCTGAAGCTGGAGTCAGTATCTGTAAACCTTGCAAGAAGCCAGTATTTATAACCTTCCCTCCATGCCAATATAAATTTGTTCATCTCTACAAACTGAAATTCACTGATGTGCCTGGTGTGTGTGTGTGTGTGTGTGTGTGTGTGCGCGCGCGCGCGGGCGCGCATGCATAGGAAGGAAAACTGGATGGAGTGTTGGATAGGAAATGATGGTATTTGGATGGATACATTGGCTGAACAAATGGACAGATAGGCAAGATAGAAAGGAAGAAGGGAAGAGGGAAAGAAGGAGACAGGGTGAAAAAAAGAATGAGTTCCCCTGTTGCCTAGGATCTAGGCTATGAGTGGGGAGTGCAAGAGTAGAAAGAATCACTTCCCAGGTGTTCCTCAAAGATATATCCTGGTGTTGGCAGGGGCCTTTCAGAGCAGAATAATTTTCTACATCAACACTTTTCAGTGCCTGCGATATACAGGGCCCCAGCAGGGTTCCAGGGCATCATAGTTAGTCAGACTACCAGGTATGACCTTGAACATGAGTTTTGAATGCTTTTCATATAAACATGTCCAAGACTCATGTTTGAATTTTAAGACTGAATGGGCACTAAAGTGCCAATACAAAGCTGCCACTACTGTTATTTGTATTAAAAGTTATATATGTCCAGGGGGCTGAGGTAACCTAAGGCATCAGATGTTCCACCTTAGCTGCAATAGGCAGATCTTAGGGCTCAGGGTTCCTATGTGTGCTGTTCACCTTGCTGCCTGCTCCCCTCTACCCTCAGCCTTCCAGGATATCTTCAAACTGTTCAGCTGCAGCCCAACAGGAACCGTGGACATGCGCAGCATGAAAATTGCCCTGCGCAATGTGGGTATCCAACTGGGCCCTCAGGAGATGTGTGAGGCTCTTCGGCTGGCAGACTTGGATGGTGGGTGTCCCATCTCTGCCCTCTTGCACTCTCCCACCTCCAGGTAGTCTCCTGTCCACAACATTCCTCCCTAGTTGTACTTTAAAGTTCCCTCTCCTGGGAAAAGAGTCCTCATCATCATTATCTCATGGCCTTTAAACATTGCTGCTGATTTAATTCTTATCCTGACATGTGGCTGCCCCAACTCAAGGGCTATTTCTCCCCTACTCAAATTAGGGTCTACCTTTAGCTTCTCTGTGGACCCAGTTGGATATCCACATTGCACAGGGCAACTTTCATGCTATGTGTGTACCTTTTGGGCTTCAGATGAACAATTTGAAACATCCTGGAAGGGCAGGCAGGGAGAGGCAGACAGCAAGGTGAACCACACACATGGGAACCCTGAGTCTGTGTATACAGGGCAAGCCTTCTTCAGGGGCAGGCACCCATTGCATCATCCTTCTCTCTCGTTCCAGGTGATGGAATCGTAAGCTTCAAAGACTTCCTGGGTGTCCTCACTGACAACCATTATGTGGCTCAATGCATGCGTGAGCACAAGACTGGTGTGGCAGGAGTGGGCCTGGCCTGGGGAGGAGGCCTCTCCTCACACTCATTTTTGCTGTCCCCAGGGCAAGTGAGAAACCGTCGGATCTGTGACTCCAAGAGCCTAAAGACCCTGTTCATAGAGATCCTGTTCAAACTGCTTAGCCAGGGCTTTGTGCCCTCCAAGTCCGCACAGGAGGTGATGAGGTGGGCACAACCGTCCCTAGATCCCAAGCCCCAAAGATAGGAGCCCTGAACTCTGGGCCCTTTTCCTGGGCCCCAAGCCACCCCAGACAAAGACAAGTGGCTTACTGTTCTCCTTGAGTTTCGGAGCCTGTGAGATGGAGGGGACGAAGGAGGCACTGTCTAAAACGGATACCCCACTTCTCTCCTTCAAGCTACTACTTCAAGAAGCAGAGGGCTCTGCAGTTGAGCCCGGGCTGTAGGGGTCGGGCCCGCGGCCAGGGCCGGCCGTCGCGCGCCCACGCTGGCCTCAACTTCTTCTGTCAGGCGGCGCGCGTCAGCGGCCTCTCCAACACGGAGCTAGCGCGCTCGCTGCACACACTGTGCAAACCGAGTGCGCGCTCAGTGGGTAGAGGCCGGGGGCCAGAGGCGCAGGGCTGGGGGCCACTGGAGAGGGGACTCTTCCGGTCACACACAGTCCCCGCCACCACCTCTGGCCTCCGAGGACCCACTCCCGGCACCACTATCCCCTCCTCCTTCTCCTGCCGGGCGCCTGCCCCAGGTGCGCGCAACCCCTACTCTCAGATACCCAAACTGGCCGGGCGGATGCGGCCAGAATGCAGGACGCGGAGCCGAATCCCCGGCCCCCCCGACATCCGCCTTCCCAAGCCCCACCAGCCCGGCCGCTCCAAGCTCCTGCCCAACCTGGGACCGCTCAGCCCAGGTGAGAGCAGGCGCGCTGGGCTGGCGATGCAGACCAGGGGCTCCGCCGGAGAAGGGCGGGCGGGCCGGGGAGAATCAGGACAGGGCAGATGGGGCGGAGGCGGGAAAGCAGATGCGGCGGCGGCGGGACTGGCGGGCGGCAGGCGAAGAGTGGGAGCACACCGAAAGAAACGGGGACGGAGTAGGCGCAGGCGCAGAGGGAGGCGTGACTAAAGTAGGACCCGCAAAGGAAAAGGGGGCGAGGTATCCAGGTAGGAGGCCCCAGCGGAAGTGGGGGGCAGCAGCAAGGCGGACCTAGGAGGTGCTAATCCGGCGAGTCTCCGCATCTCCGAGCTGCTGGCTACACCCTCCACATCTCCGAACTGCCGGCTACACCCTCCACGTGCTCCCTCCGCCCTCCCGCAGGGTACGTGGACGAGTCGCTGGAGCAAATAGGCCTCTCAAAGCGGGCTCTGTCCCCTGCGACTCTAGTGCAGAAGCAACCCTTCTCCCCTTCACCAGCCTCTTTGCAGAAACAAGCTGTGAAGAGCTTGTACAAGTAAAGCGTTTGCTGAGCGAAACCGGCTCTGTGAAATGGGAGTGGGCACCGAACGGACACTGATTTTTTGCAAACATCTTTATTAATCTTGTATAAAAATATGGTCCAAGGAGAGTCTTTGGGGGTGGGAGTTCATGGGGGAGGGCAAGGTGCACTTTATAAGTTACAGGCCAGGCTTCCGCTCAGGCTAAGTATGGCTATTGGGGGAGGGGTGCTGCAAGCAGCATTTGAGGATTGAGACCAGGCGATTCTGCCTCCAACAGGAGGAGGCTGTGCTGGCCCCTTTAAGGAGGGCCAAGGTGCCAGGCAGCAGGAGGAGGGGCTGCCCAGAGGCCCACCTTCCTTGAGCCCCAGCCTGTCCACAACCGCACCCCCTACAGAATACACCTGCAGAAATAGGCTACAGCGAAAGGTCAGAGGTGACCTGCAGGGGGGGTCCTGGAGGGCGCCTACGACCACTGCGACGGCCTGTGTCTGCGCGGATGTAAGGCTGGTTCCGTAGATCTGGCAACCAAAGGAGATAGTTAGCCCTTCAGGAGTCTGCCCAGAGCTGGGACCAAGCTCCAGGGTACATGCTCAGCCTTCTGAGAACCCAGGTTGTGTGTTTAGGGGAAGGGGCACTGTTTACATTTGCCAGACCTCCCATCTGCCCTGCAATACATTCCAGCCATGCACTAGCACAGAAGGGTCCCAGAACTGTCAGCAGCGATGTGACAGGTACCTGGGGGCTAGAGGGGCATCTCCTCTCCCAGGCTGGCCTCACAGAGGAGCCGGGATGTCCGCTTGCCAGTGCGGGCGGTGAAGGGCACTGTCTTGAGCACTGAGGGTGAAGGGGTAGGGGGTAGAGAAAGGAAAAAGGAAAGAAAAACAGAAAAGGTAGCAAGAGGCAGTAAGGCAGCCAGACCCCTGGTCCAGGTCCAGCCAAAGAACAGCTTAGAAGGACAGAACAGGTGCCTGGCCAAGCCCTCACCTGTGATAATGTCTTCAATGGCCCCATCACGGTCACTCTCATAGATGAGTGGCTCCTTCTGCTGCTTCCGTTTCAGCTCAGATATGAGGTCCATCTGTTGTCTACGGGCCTTGGGTGGAGACTGAAGGAGATGTATATATAGCTCCAATTCCAGGATCCCTCCACCCCACTCAATTCTAGTGCCTCACAGCAAGGACAGGTGACTGGAACAAAAGGATCCCACTCCGATCCCTGACTCCTAGGGCACTGTCTTTGAAAAGGGTCTGTCCCTAACAATGGGGATGGGGATGGGGCCAGAGAGTGTGAGGATACCTTGCATCCCTGCATCCCAGAACCAGGCTCAGCAGCAGCTGCATACCTTAGGTGCTGGGGGTTCCCCCCTGCCTGGGGTGTCGGCACCTGCCTCCTGGGCAGCTGCTTCCTTCTTCCATTGTTCCACCTCTTGCTCAGCTTTCTGAGAGACAAAGGCAATTCTCAGTGAGGGCAGTCCTTACTCCTACCCTGTCCCACCCAAGAGAGAAGCAGCCTCTGCCCTTCCCACTGCCCATGCAGAAAGGCTTCAGGGCTCCCAGCCCACCACCACACATATGTACCTTATACGCCTTGATGAAACGGCTGAAGAGGGAAAAGAACATGGAGGGGGATGTGGTCTTGGGGTTTTCTCCGAAGTACTCCACCACAGACTCATAGGCCTCCTGTTGGCACAGCCCATCGCCCTGTTAGCATGGGCTCCTCAGAGCCTGATGCCACTCTGTACCTCCTCAGGACATTGGCTACTTCATCTGTTCCTCCAGGCAGGTGGCCCTTCACTTCTGCTTCATCCCCAAAGGGTCCCAGCTGTGGCCACACCCCTCCAGACCTGGGCTATACACCCCCACCTAGTGATCCAATGGCAAGGACTCCTTCATTTCCCCAACCCAACTTCCCTGGCTCCAGATCAGGCCAGCCCCAGCCCACCTGAGCAGTCTTGCTGTCTGCCAGTAGCTTGTCCATGGTGGGAGAGTTGGCCCTGAGGAACTCCTTAAGCACCAAGCAGTCATCCTGCCGCACAAACTCCCTCTGTGTCAACTCCAGGCCTCGTTGCAGGGAGCGCACATCCCCCAGGACACTGTCCAGGGACACTGGGTGGAAGGCGGGGCAGCGTGAACTCAAGGAATCTGAGAGGCAGCACTCCTACCCAGTTACATCTTGCAGTCCCCTTGCTTCCCAGTGGCCTCCGGCCTGAACTCCTGCCTGCTCAGGGCCCTGGCTGCTCTATACCTGAGCCTGCCTTGTCCAGGAAGTGCAAGTCACTGTGGAAGCCTGTGAGCTGTGGGTACTTCTCAGCAATGACCTTCACCAGGTAGTGCAGCAGTGTCTGCTTTCGGTCAGTCGACTTCATCTCCAACAGCTGAGCAAAGACCTGTTGTAAGCCACAGGCCACCAGCCAGCCCCCAGCCCCCATGCCAGGCCCCCCACCTCACCACATCCAGACTCTGGAGCCGGAAACCATAGGCTGCCCCACGCTTGCTGCTGTTCATGTAGTTGCCAAAGGCCAGGACGATCTGGGAGAGGCAGGGGAAGAGACTCAATAGGGTACCAGGGCTGGGGAAGCCCCTTAAGTAAACATTACACAAGAAAAAAGGTGACGAAAAGTGAGCCTGCACACACACAGCCTACCACACTTCTGAATGGAACTCTCTCTCCATGACACACATACTTGTGTGTATGCACGTTTCACATGTGTGCATGGTTAACCCATGAACATATCCAATTTTGCCCTTTGCTGGTCCAACCCAAAATTGGCAGCCACTTTCCCCTCCTAGGGGTTGTCACCCTTTTGCCAACCATTACTACTGGTCCCCTCCTGGGATGGTCCACTGCTGCTCACACAGCAATACCCAGAGGGGCTGACCCCTCTGGCAGGGTCTCAGATACCCTGTTAAAGGCATGGCTGCTGTCACCAATCCTCACCCAGATCTAGTTTTGTCTTTCAAAGCATGTACATGAGAAGTGGGAACATTATCTTTGTTGTACACTATGTAGGTGGGGCCTTCTCACACTGCTTAGAAGAGGCCAGGATGGGCCCAGCCTCTGGGCCCCTTGCCCTGGGCTCTCACCTCTAGGATCTGCCGGAGTTTGTCAGAGGACTTGATGGACATTGAGGCTGCAATGATGGCATTCAGTTGCTGGAGGTGAGACAGGGGAGGTAAGTTGGAGGCACCCTCATCAAGAGGCTCAGGTCTCCCAGATGAAGCCTGGGCTGAGAGATGCCTCCCCCCACCCAAAGCCCAGGCCACACTGCCCTGCCCGCCCCGCCCACACCGGCATGAGCAGCTGGGCCGTATCCGGGAAGTTGCCCAGGAAGGTGAGCGTGGACATGCGCTCCGGCAGGCGTGGGATGCGGCTAAAGCGTAGCATGAAGCGGTCCTCTTCCGACAGCTCCTCCAAGGGACGCTGCTCCCGCTCAAAGCGGGCAATGAGGCTGCGCTCATACTCCGTGGGCAGAAAGCGGGTCAAAAGCTCCAAGAAGTCCAGGCCGAGAGCCTGCAGGTCATACCTGATGGATGAGCAGAGGAGCCAGCCGTTTAAACCCCATATCCACCAGCCCAGAGAACAAGACTACATTCCCTCCTTTGGTTGAATAAATGAACTTAAATATTTACTATTTGCTGACAGCTTCAGAGAACAAGAAGTAGGAGTTTCGAGAAAATGGGAGTTTGGGAGCCCAGGTCCCCATCATTCATCAATGGCAGAAGCCCTACTATAAATCTCTCTGCCAAAGAGGCAAGAAGGGAGTGGGATGTCCCAATCTAGGCCTGGACTCAGTTTTCTTAACCTAAAAATGGAAATACAGTTCCCTGTCCACGGTTCCAATGAAGCTTATAGGCTCTGTCCCCCAGCAGGGGCTCTTACTAGGCTCTGCCTGAAGATCCCAGCCTAGAAGAGGGGCTGAGCTGCCAAAAGCCCAGAGCAGGGTACTCACGTCTCAATAGCCTGGCAGATGCGGTCGGCCCCCAGATTGCCCTTGCGCAGAGTGATGGCCAGGTTTTTGGCCCGGTTGGCCTCAATGAGTGTTGCTTTACTGGGGGCCTTGTGAGCTGCCTTGCCCTTGAGAGCACTGATGTCCAGACTGGGGCCTTGAGACTTAGTCTTGAACTGTTCCTCAAAGTCACTCATGTCCAGCTCCTAGGGTACAGGGGGAGAAGGTGGGGCTGGTTGGGGCCAAGGTCTGGCACACTCCGAGTGAGCACTGTGTTCAAGGATAGAACCACTGGTTCAGCTCTGATAGGCTATCAGCAGAGAGACAAAGCAATAACCCAAATAGAACATAGGCCGTGATACAGGAGAAGCACAAGGAACACTGAGGAAGAAGAGAACCACCCAGCCTAGAAGACCCAGCCTTGGACCATTAAGAAAGGAGTGAACTGGTCATCAGGGAAAAGGGAAGGGCAAAGGGTACAGAATGATCAGTGGCTCAGAAGCAATGGAACACATCCCTTTTGGAAAACTGAAAGTGGAATCAAGAGGGCTAAGGTCCTGGTTGTGAAGAAGTGGCAGGAAAAGGGCCTGAAAGGAGAGGGATATGCCCCTCTATAGGAAAGGAGGGTAAAGACTCCAGGGAGGTCAGTATACCACTGCCTACTAGACCAATGCACCAAGGCAGTGTAGCTTAATGCTCTGCCCATCTCCACTTCTGTAAAACTGGGTGGAGATGACCACCCCCATGATCCTGGCAAGCCCCCACCTCTTCGATGCCCACACTAGGAGCAAGACAGGTGCACTCACTTGTAGCACTTTCTCATCGTTGAGCTCTGTGAACACGGTGCCTGTAATCTGGCTGGGTTTCAGGGCCACCCAGTTCAAGAGTGGCATCCGGAACTTGGTCTGGATGGGTTTCTTGGCCTTCACTCCTGGGGCCGGGAGGGAGTGGTGAGCACTGGGGGCGCTAGAGGCAACCAGCCCAGCAAGGCCTGACAGGGCAGCAGGAGGCAGTAGGAAGCCCCTGGACAGAGGGTCCTGGAGGACACTGAGGCTGGGGCTCTACTCATCTCCCCCAAGCCCTGGGCTCGAGGGGGTCCACTCCACTCACCTAAGCTCGTCTCTGGGCCAGGCCCTCCAAGGGCATCAGGGGGA